TAATTTGAAAGATTGAGTGATAAAATGAATGAATGAAAGAATGAATGAATGAATGAATGAATGAATGAATGAATGGAGAAAAATTAAAAGACGAAACTAAATCTTACTTTAAAAATCGTCGTTATTGCACTCGATTGCACCGACCACCATCATCTGGTCAGCACACAAGATTTCATCCAAACTTCAGTGTCAGCCGAACAGCCAACGAGCTGATTCTTCCTACACCACCATAATTATGTTTAAATCATCATGAGACCACTATCTGAAACGTGCTGACTCCCACCTCTGCCCACCTGTCATCATTCTGTAGACAACATTTTTTATTAGCGTAGTAGTAAATGAATCTTAGAATTTTAGAAGCAAAAAATTATAAAATGAAAACAATGGTAAAATAGTATATTAAAATAATAATGAGAGTAAAATGTAAAAAAAATTTACCGTCGTCCATTCAACGAAGGCAGAATGTTGAATGCGGTCCGGTTCCTATGTTGTCCTCCAAAACTGGTGCAAGTCCCCCGAGATTGTTGTTGAAACACAGCCAATGGGATGGAAAAAGATAAAAAAAAGATTCTCATCAGAAAGCTTAGCGGTGCCTGCATCTCAAATTGCTTACTTTATAAAAATAATCCTATCTACCTATTCAATTAACTTAATATATAAAATTGTTAATGGTACGATAGTCGAAAGTCCCCCTTCATTCTCCCTCCTTGCACAGAGGTTCACCGACAGCCAGGGCACCGGATAGTAAACCATTGCCGTACGGATAGTAGACTATTGCCGTGCGGATAGTAAACCATTTGCCGTCCGGAAGCCGTGCGGGTAGTAGACCATGGGCATGCCGCATAGTAAATCATTACCGTGCAGATAGTAAACCATTGCCGTCCGGATAGTAAACCATTGCCGGTTACTGGCCACCAAAGCTTACCTCCGACAACGGACTTTGAAATTCAGAGTCTATCGGCTATCGTACCCTCAACTTACCTATTCATTACAATTAAGCCCTAGCTTACTTAAAAATTACAAAACTCAAGAGCCCAATTCATTGGCCAATTGGCACCCACCCCACCACCTACGTAATGCCTTGGGCTCCAACTTAGTAATAATAACATAAAACTTAAACATAAACCCTAAATCTATTAATGAGTATGTGTTACAACGTAGCCTTAACTTACCTATTCATTATATTATGGCCCTAGCTTACCTAAAATTACAAAACTCAAGAGCCCAATTCATTGGCCTTTCGGAACCCACCCCACCACCTACGTAATGCCTTGGGCTCCAACATAATAATAATAATGTAAAACTTATAATTAACCTACCTATCGATACACTTACAGCTCTTTTAATTCACATTACAAGATTTTTCCTAGAATTACATTATTGCCCTTAACTACCTATGAAATTAAATTACTCTCAACCTTAGTAATAATAAATTAGAATGTGTAATGAAAATAAAATTACGCTCAAATACTAACATATGTGTTATATATGTATTTGTGTGTGTATGTGTATGTAATACGCTGATGCGTGTAATATGGATGCAAGAAAAAATAGAAGCGATAAACTTACGCTGCTTACTTATTCAACTACATTAGTGTTGGATGCTTCCTATCTATCCTACCTACAAAAATTATGCCTATCTAACCTACCTATATAGCTACTTAATGTAATTGTGTGTGTGTGTGCGTGTGAGCATTCTTACTTAATTTTAAATTACTGAGAAAAACAGAGAAAAAAGAATAAAACGTATCCCAGCCAGGCGTGTATTCTTTGCCACTGAATAAATGAACGTAGCCTGACATCTTCCATGATGAACTCCTCTGGATGCTTCAACCTGAATAAAATGAAAAAATCTTATTTAATTAATTTTAATGAAAATAGAAAAACGGTGAAACCCGCCAGCCGGAAAAGCCAGCCAACTGGTAAAAAAAAGAAAACTCAAAATAACCGTCAAACGAACCCCAGCCAGGCGTGCATTCTTTGCCACTGAATGAAAGAACGTAGCGTGACATCACAACCATTCTGATCTTCTACGATGAACTCCTCTGGAAGCTTCAACCTGAATGAATGAACCTAAATAAACCTAAATGAATGGAAAAATCTTATTTACTTAATTAATTTAAATGAAAATAGAAAAACGCAAACAAGCCGACCGGTCGGCAAAGAAAAGAACCTCAAAGAAAGGTATCTATATAGGATTTATGGTCTATATAACTCTATATAACTCTATATAACTCTATATAACTCTATATAACTCTATATAACTCTATATAACTCTATATAACTCTATATAACTCTATATAACTCTATATAACTCTATATAACTCTATATAACTCTATATAACTCTATATAACTCTATATAACTCTATATAACTCTATATAACTCTATATAACTCTATATAACTCTATATAACTCTATATAACTCTATATAACTCTATATAACTCTATATAACTCTATATAACTCTATATAACTCTATATAACTCTATATAACTCTATATAACTCTATATAACCGAGCATACTACCACATTCAATCAATAAAAATTCCACTAAAACCAGGAACCACCGCGTACCTGTTATATGTATAGTGTGAAACAAAACAAACAAAAAACACAAAAAAAACACACCACCAAGTAGAGTAAAAGAGTAGAAGTCCCTAACTTACCTATGTAATTAATTTACCTTATGCCCTAGCCTACCTATATAATAAATTAATTTTTAATCTCACCTACCTATGTTTCATTAACTTAACTCAAGACTCATGAAGAAAGAGAAAATAGAGTAAAACAAAACATAAAACACTACCACACAAACAAACATGTGTGTATGTATGTATGAGCGACTGCTATAGAACCCACCTAAAATATAAAAAAATACAACATACAAACACACAAACCACAGGCAACATATATAACTCTATATAACTCTACATAACTCTATATAATAAAATACATAAAAAATAAAAATAATAAAAAATAAAAATAATAAAATAAAGATCAGACAGACTGCTTCCAGCGAGGCAGAATGCCTGATCTGATTTTCATGTTGTCTTAGCTCCTATTTATACTCGTTTCAACCATACATTTTCATTATTTCAATCATTCACATCAGTAAAAAACTTGTTTAAAGTATGTACTAAACTATTATACAGTCTTAGCCACAATGCTAACCGTACTAAATTGACGTCATCGAAACTTCTGATTGGCTGGTTGAATCTGCTATATTGCTTTTTTATATAAACATATAATCTTATTAATTAGTTGTATACATGGATTCTAGTTACTTCGGGGAGAATTCAAAATAGTTTGAGACCACACCTTGCTTAGCATCCGATTCCAAGCCAAGCCAAGCCAAGCCAAGCTGAGCCAATATGCGTAGATTTATAAGCGCTTTTATATTAAAATTTTGCTCGCTTTATATATATATTATATAAATTCATTATAATAGCAACAGTAATCAGTGCTACATATGTACGCACGCAATTCAAATTTTTCGGGGAGAATTCAAAATAGTTTGAGACCACACCTTGCTTAACATCCGATTCCAAGCCGAGCCAAGCCAAGCTGAGCCAATATGCGTAAATATGCTTGATATACCCATCCTATTTTATAAATTTTATTTGATGTTTTTTAATTAGTCAGGTCACAATCATCCTCATCATCGATATCGCAGTGAAATCAAATTGAGAATTTTTTAAATTTTTGAAAAAAGTACCTTTCTTTATTTTATGATACTACTTTGTCCAATAAGATACTGTTTGATACATATAACTAGAATAAATATAACAACCTTCGCTCACTTTCAACGGTCGAAAAAGAAGTTTTCTTCCGGAGGGGAGTTGGAGGGTGATATTTTATCGTTCGAGTCAAAAACAAGGGGAGGCCTATTACCAATATACAACACTTTCTTATGGGTTGAAGCAGTGATAGCAGAACCTAAAATTGTTCAACTTTTAAAATTATTTTTGGTAATCATGGATATAATGATATATATATATATATATATATATATATATACATATATATATATATATATATCCATGTCGGTAATGTCGATTTTATTTTTTTTAATTTTATACCAAATAATTAATTGCCACACTGAATAATAATTTAAAAAAAAATTAAATTTAAAACCTAAAAAATTTCTTTATTACAAGAACAATCTATCAATAACCAGTGCGAGAGAACAAGATATGGAAATGTATGAAAAAAGAAAGGGGCACGAACAATTAGATGAGCGGCAGAGTTAAAAGCTTTACTTAAAGGATGAGTATAGAATAAGGAAGATCATAAAAATAGAGCAAGTTACAATAGCAATCCTAGATAAGACTGACGAAGTAACAAGAAAGAGAAAAGTAGGATCGTCAAAAAAAGACAAAACTTTTTTTATTTGACGTAGATGAAAGTACGAACTTCTAGCAACAATATTAATCTGAGAACAATTTTTTATTCATTTTTTGTTTTTTATATGAAAAGTATGATGGTATCTTTTTACCCTTGATTAAATTACGTACGAACACCTTTTTTCCAGGGTTCATGACTATATTTTTACAACATATAAAAAACATTACAACGTTTATAACATTACGTTCATGATGTTATATATAAGACAATACATAATATGTACTTAACATTTACAATGTGCTAACAATATAGCAATACACACACACACACCAAAGACATATTATACGCATGGAGATGACTATACCTATACAAACATCTGCAGTACCAGCATAACACATACATTATGTAACATTATGACTATATACACACAAATACAAAGGAATGAGTATTATAAATCATCTTTTGGACTTTTTTTTCTGATTTTTAGTGGGATCAATTACTGCTGTGACAGTTGGGGGTGATTTTTTGGTCTTCTTTGGAAGCTGCAAAATACGAATTTAATCGAAATTAAAAAAAATTGAACTATTAAAATTAATATTCATAATAACAATAATAAAAATATTATTATTATTACTAATTATAATACAAATTATAGTTAGCACTTGTAATTTTTTTTATTTCTCACATAAATAAACATGTAAGAAAAGAAAAACCAAACCTTATGCTGTAGATACCCATGCTCCTCCAGTATGTCTCTAGTACAGGAGTTGATGTGTTTGAAGCGATCCGGTCCCAGTAGGATGTTTCCGAACAACCACCACCACCACGTTTCTCGCGTCCATCTGCTAAAAATTATAATATTTACTAATAATTTGAATATTCATAAGTTTACCCTGATTTTTAAAAGTATGATTTATAATATGATCAATGTAATGTTTCTATACTGCGAAATAAAATAAAAGTGATTTAAGTTTTATAAATTTTTTGAATATTTATATGGCAGTAACAATATGATTCATGATGAGCCTAATGTTTCAGAACAAGGAATTCATTTCTGAAGTTCAACCCATTAAAATAAGAAGTATGAAACAAAACATGATTATAAGTTGCTAACTTCCAAGACGTGAAGCATCCTGCCCCCCGGCCTGGTGTTCTCCGTCGTCAAATGAGTCGCCAATAACCTTCCCATTCCCAGTTTCGAGTCTGTAGGCAACGATGTTGTGTTTGGCAGAATTTATCTTGTTATTCTCCTTCAGCTTGTTCACAACCATCTGCACCTGAGGATAACAACCAGATAGTTTGTGAAATAAAATTTAAAAACTGCATCTAAAAAAATAATTTATTTGGATTAAGTTGATTAAAATTAAATTGATTAACTAATCAGATGAAATCTAACCTGTTTCTGATGGCAAATAGAAGCCAGATGTCCTTGAAACTCACTCTTCCTGTCGATGATTGACTGGCCGTGGTGGATCGTGGGAAGCACTGAAGAAATTATTTCAGATTTGAAGATGCAAAAAAAGGGTGATCTAAAATTAGATCAAATCAACTTGAGAGATGAGTTGATGAAGATTTATAGATAGAATAAAGAGAGTTAGATGGATTTAACCTATGGGCTTTCTCCAGTCTTCTAACACTTTTCTTGGCTACTACACAAGCATAATCAAACCAAGGAGCCTTACGAGAAGAGAGCCTATAAGTAAAAGATTTAAGAGGAATAAGCTTATCAAGAATAGAAGTAATGTAGATATTAAAAGCATAGACAAAATCATCAACATCATAAAATAAGGTAGTATCAAAAATAGTTTCAGTAAGAGATTGAAGAAAAATATCTTTATTAAGAGAAGACCGGCATCTTTTAGAAATAGACATAGATGAATTTGAAGGAAGAAAATCTAATGAAAAAACAGATTCAATAAGAAGGTGATTAGAATAAGGAACAGAGCTAGCAGAGATATTAATAGGCTTAGAAAAAGATGAAGCTATAATAAAATCAATAGTGTTACCAGAAGTATGAGTAGGAAAAGAACAATATTGAGTTGATCAATCAATCAATCAATCAATCAATTAGCTTGTAAAGCGCTATTTTCGCGATGTTCAACAGCGCTCCTCAATGAATTTTGAAAACAGATGGGTCTCGAGATCCGCTCTGAACTTCGTAAGTGATGGAGAAGTAGTCAGAGAAGTAGGTAGAGAGTTCCAGAGAAAGGGACCAGAAAAAGCAAAAGCAGATTTGGCAAAAGAGTGTTTAACACGAGTTAAGAAGAAGCGAGAACAAGAAGACGGTCGTAAATTAATATATCTGATAAATATTTAGGAAATAATTTAGATTGAGACCTATACACAAACGTGCAATTTTAAAAATTATTCTATATTTTATAGGTAGCCAATGCAAGAGAACAAGATATGGAGATATATGAGAAAAGAAAGGGGCACGAACAACTAGACGAGCAGCTGAGTTAAAAGCTTTACTTAAAGGATAGAGTAATAGAATCAGGAAGACCTTGGTAGAGCGAGTTACAATAATCAATTTTAGATAAGAAAGCGAGCGATCCAATTTGATTTCAAAGCGGAATTTCGACATTTTTCAAACCCCTGGTAGACAAACATTCTTCTGAGTAGCGTTATGTAAATCAAGGAAGTAGAAACAAAAATGCAAAGTTTAATATGAAATAGATTTGAACGTACTTAAAAATTGATATTTTTTTAAAAACGTTTTCAACCGCTTTCCAAAATTTTGTTTCTTTGTCATATATATTAATGTCCGTCGTTAATCACCGCACATAACAAGAAGTGAAGTGGTTAGGTGAATTTTTTTTGTGCAATTTTTCCAATTGTTTACGTCTGCCAAGCGTTTAATTTAATTAGTTTAATATTTTTTTGCTTATTCATTCAGAGATTCCCAAATAAGTTTTTGCATTAATTTTTGATTAACTTCTTTTAAAATTGATTTTTATTACAAAATATAAAAATATAATTATTTTACATCTTGAATTATCAATAATTATATTATGTTATTAAAATAATACAAATAAATAAAAATAAGTAAGTTAAAAGTTCACAAAGGAAATTATTTATTTGGGTTTGTTTGTCATTTTATTGTCTGCTGATTCAATTTGAATTGATTTGTTATTGTAAGTCATAAGAGAATACAATGCAACACTGAACATATCCTGAGCAAATACAATTGTTATTATATTATAAAATAAAGGTAATATAGATTTATAATACTTAAATTAAAAAATCTTAACTCAATTTACTACTAAAACTCAAAATATGGGGAATGGAATGAATAAAGTATGTGATATTTTTGTTTCATTATAATTGAAATTTTAAATATAAATAAAAAAAATATAAATCAAAATTAATATTAATAAAACGTATTTTGCATAAATGCATTGAATATTTATAATATGTATAATATTTATAATATTAATATATATTATAATATAATTAATATAATATTATGATATTTATAATACTTTATAAATACGAAGTCTAATTTTTTCAACAAAACTTTCTATAGATCTTGCCTGGTTTATACCTTGGAAATTATAGAGATTCAAAGGACCCAGCACAGTTGTCCAAATACAACATCACTCACATTGTTTCTGTCCATGAATCTTCTAAGCCTATTCTGCCTGTTTGTGAATAAATCTTTTTTAATGTTATTTATTCTATTTTTAAAACTTCTAATGAATTTATAATTTTATATTCATAATAGATTATTATACATATCTATTAAAGCTGAATAATTTTTAGATGTCATATTTGTATTTTATAGACATGCCTATTTTCTTTTGAGCATATGTTTCCTCTTCAACTTTTTTATATTATTACTTATTACATATAATTCAGTTGTTTGTCATTTTTGTCATTAACTTTATTTTATTGAAATTCATCAGTTAGTTAGCTTCTCTTTTTTGAGAAAAAATTTTCAAGCTCTATGTGCATTAATTTTTAAATTTGATATTAATGTTTTAAATGCATATTTACCATACAAAAAGGACAAGAAGTATCTCTGCCTAGTGGCATCTGATGTCTCAACTCAGAACCTTTCACAGTTCTTTAGCGAAACAAATGATTTCATTCATGAAGCAAGGAGCAATGGAGGCAATGTTCTCGTTCATTGGTTTGTTTTTTTGTTTTTGCTTTTATTTATTTTCTTTTCAAGGGTCCTAAATTCAAATTGATTCACTTCTTGATCTTCTTGATCATAGTTTTTATGTTTAAAAGCTTGTTTTAAATATTTTACAAATGCCTGTTTTTAATCAGCTTGGCAGGTGTAAGCAGAAGCACAACAATTGTCATAGCATATTTGATGACGGTTTCAAAACTTGCCTGGAAGGAGTGCTTGGGAGCTGTGCAACAGAATCGTCCATGTGCCAATCCTAACTTTGGATTCCAGAGACAACTGCTTGAATTTCAATATGATAATGTTCTTGAGGTTTGTTGCTTTCTCTTTGATGGATGGACAAATATTATGTTCAGCATTCAAGATTTAATGTTTCTATAATTTGTTTTATTTTCAAGAGAAATTTTTTCATTTTGACCTTGAAAATTTGTGAATAGTCTGTAATAGAGTGTTTCATCAACTTATCATGGGAAGCTACTGTTCAGTAATTGGATGAGATCAACTTGCATTATAAAATTTCTAAATAATGTTTGTTTTTTAAATTTAAAATGTCAACTAATCAGTCAAACAAATTTATCTAACATCAATTTTTGACTTTCAATAATGTTTTTCAAAGATGTATAAAATAATATTGATGAATAGTACATAGTTTGTTGAACACACACACATTTACAGGAGCATGACAGACTGCTGGAAAAATTTCCTCAGACAAGAGAACTGATGGAGAAGGATCGAGATGTCGTGCAAGAATTTTACAAAGTCCACAAACAGGTCCAGCATGAAAGGGAAAAGCTGAGGTCGGAGTTTTCCAACTCACTTTGCAAGCTGTCTGATCCAACAACCAGTGGAGGTGATAATGATTGCAGTTACTTTTTCAGTGAAAACAATGGAGATGGTTTGTTGCAGGATGGTTCAACTAACGACTCAACTGCAACTTCATCCAACTGTAACGAGCAGTCGAACAGGTCGTCAACTGGTGAGAAGGAATGCAGTGAAGTTGTCGCAGTTGATGAAAACATGAAAGCTGCCAAAGAATCTCAACATGCTGTGGTGCAATCTCAGCCACAAGTGGCTACAACAAGCTCATCAGCACAAGATACCTCAGTAACAACAAACTCATCTCCACCATTCAACCCATGCAACATGACATCTTGCAGTGCTATCAAACAAAACTTGGATTTTCTATTGGACACGGGAGTCACAAATGCAGTTGATTCCGATAAGAAATGATATGTTTATTATTATTTATATTATTATAACTCTTACTACTACTATTACCACCACCACTACTATACTACTACTACTACTAATAATAATAATACTGGTATTACTACCTTTTCATATTATTACTACAATTTCTTGTCATCCGAATTTGCATTTATCTATTTATCATTACTATTACAACCATTATTATTATTATTACTACTACTACTATTATTATTAAATTGTTCTTTCTATTTCAACAAACTCTCAATACCATATTGTAAATTATTTAACATAGAATGATAGCAACGATTAATTTCAACAGGCAGTTGTGAAGCCTTAATGTTGGCTAGCAAAGTAGTTTATAGATCACTTCAATATACTAAAGTTTATGAAATTTGAGAGGCTGACTTGTTTAGTCTTACTGGTTTTTTTTAACCTGACATGTTTATTGTCTTCTTTATGATATGATTCACCATCACATGTTTTTTTTTTTTATTTTCAGTCCAATTTCATGTTACTAAGTTATTTTTTCTTAAACTTACTTTAGTCTCTGTCTGTCTGTCTGTCTGCTATCTAGCTCATAAATTTTTAAATATCAAGAGTTTGAAGTGTTTTGGTTCAAAATGTACGTTCCCAATTTTACAGAAAAACACTTCCCTGCATTTTTTGGAAAGGAGTGTTTTATTTTGTATTACCCTTCTCATCTCTTTTAGAGTTGTATTGATCTATGGCCACATCTTTTTTACTTTGTTTTCTTATTAATTTTTCATCCAGTTTCACTTCAAAAATAACCTTTTACATTTGATTTTTTTCATGTCCATCGCCAGAGCTAACAACTTCATACAACTTTATAATTTTCAAATCATCATCTGTCACACAGTTAATGCTTGCTATCAACTATATAATTTGCCTCTCTACTGATATTACTCTTAACTCATTAATACGATGGGCACACTTTTGTTTATAGATTCTAACAGACCAGATGATATTATTATGGTAATTATTAATATTGATAATACAATATAATAATATAATTTTCAATTGATAGTAATAATTGTTTCAGTTATTATTATTGCTATTTCATCGCGACCTTCACAGCCATACAGCTATGCAGATGATTAAGAATATAATGAATATGAAAGAAAATAATTAACATTATCAATTCAGTTATAATTACTATATTTAATTAGCCAATTACATTTAACAAACATGTTGAATGATATATAGGAGAGCGTACATTGAATGGACGTTGTGTTATATTAGAAGAATAACATTAACGAATGGTTAATAGTCAAGGTTTGCGTGGCACGTATGACTCAATAATTTACATAGCTTCGTATTTTAGGAGCGCTGCTAAATAAAGTACGATTTTTACATTATCTTTGCATTCATTTTTCCCGATTATTTTCTACTACTTCGTTTGGTCATAATAGTAATTGACATTTATAGTAGATTTTTTTTTTCATATTTTCCATTATTACTTTACTATGATGTTCTTGATTTGCAAGGAGTTCGATGATACTCATTTGATTTTCTACAATATAATTTTCAATGGACTACTCCTACTTACTATTCTCGAAATTAAATCATTTGTTACTTGTATTACATTACATTACATTAGTGCCTGCCTTACCGTTTGTATTTATTTTCGTCGAATAGTAATTATAAACATTTGAGATATTAACTATGCTAACATGCAGTCGGATTTATTTGCAAACATTTTATGTTATTATATATTGGTTATTATTAGTGTTTGAAAATAAGTTGTTTCTAAGATTTTAACGTCCTATAAAAACTTTATCCTCATTCTAGGCAATCCATTTCATGTCATTTAATCTGTCCTCATCATCTACATTCTGAAATTATGCAATAACCTTTTTGCTAATTATTTCGATTGAACATTCAACGAGCACAATAGAAATAGGCTTTAAAAAAATCAGCTGTTCATGTTCGATGTTTGACAGGTGTTTAACAATTTCATGCTTCCTGTATTTTATATAAACATGTTTTTGATGTGTTGAATCATTTACTTGTCTTCATACAGTATTTCTTTTCAAACTTATTTATTCTTCATTATTTTCCTTGTATCTTTTTATTTTAATAAAGAATCAATTAATGCAGTAAAAATTGATTATAGCAGATTTGATTGTCACATAGCTTTCTTTCATAAGGCTCAGTCATAACTTTCACATGCTGGTATGCAACATATCTTCATTGAACAACGTACTGCAGTCAATATTTAGACTCACTCAGGTCAAACTCTAGTTATTATTGTACATTGTCTGTAACTCTTACTTAATTAGTTGATACCGGCTATGTGGACGTACATTAAATTAGCATGGTGTGACAGTATTGTAGATAGTAAGCAGAAACACGAGGGAGTCTGATTATGCAACCCCCAACCTGCTCGTGTAACTTTTCTTCACTTTTTGCATCTCAGTTGAAAATTAATTCAAATTCGTGTTAATTAATAGGAATGTATGCATCAGGAAGGTTGTGGAAAAACATTTTGTGAACGCCTCTGTTTTACACGTTCTTAGACGGAACTCTATTGAGCCATAGACACTTGCGATAATTAAAAAACCATCTACTGTATGGAAATTTTTTTAGAACCGTAAAGTTGCTACATATACGTAACAACAAATTATTATTACTCATTCATATTTTCGTAATCAGTTTGCATTGTTTAATTGATATTAGACTGTTACACGGGCACGTGATATATCAACGCACACGTACGTACGCCAAAGGAGCGTAAAATCATTAAAATTGTATCTAGCTAAGCTGTTTATTACAAGCGTGTCATCTATCTACCTACCACGTGATGTTTGGAATGCCGCTTGTGCATTCCAACATTGTCTAGCAATCTGATTAGCGATAAATAGAATGCATATGAGAATATATATCCGTCTGAGTTGGCCATGACATGAACTGAGGTTTGCGTTGTTCATTTTTGTTTGTAACTTCGCATAAACCATATGATACTGGAGGGATGTAGAGATTATAAAATGCATATGCATGACTGACTGACGAGGCTTGATATACACCTTTTAATGTATTTTAGTCTCTTCATAATAATTTTGTTGGTGATTGTTCAAATGACATATATAACAATTTCGCAAACTATTTTATAATTTTTTTACTTTTTATATTCATTGAGTAGCAGTTCTTTGACGATGATAATTTATTTTAAAAAATGTTATTCAACTCAAATCGATTAAAATTATCGTACGAATAAAAATTTAAATTTACATCTTAATTAAAGTTCAACTATATAAACATTGTGAATTAAATAAAAATCAACATTTCGATATACCCTTCACAAAACAAAAAACGGACAGTTAATAATGAAATAAAAATTATTAGCAACTATAAATTTTAAATTGTGTGTGTATATATATATATATATATATATATATAGAGAGAGAGAGAGAGAGAGAGAGAGAGAGAGAATTAAAGATAGAATGTGGGGACAATTTAACTCAATCATGACTAGTTGTTCGTCTGGCCTCATAAATAATGAGGATATAACAATCAGACTGTTATGTATGGACACACAGTTTTAACGTTCTCCAAATTTTGCATGACTTCTCCTCAGCGTTCTAATTGATCAGTGTGGGTGCCGTTACAAAGGATGTTAATGATAGGCTCGTTGAGACAAGAAGATGCTGAAAAATATAAAGATGGATTTATAATTTACAAATTTTTCTAAAGAAATTGCGATATTTGTGATGAAAATACGCCTTATGCCTCATTGTCATCACGTAATATATGTGTAACATCTAATGTTTAGTATTATTATATTAATATTATATACAGGTTACATTTATAAGGTAGATACATACATAATCGAATAGTTTGCAATTCACTTGAGTTGCATATATTCAAATTTAAACGCATCAAGAAACAAGAGTATGGATATACAAATTTTAAGCGGGGTGATCAATAATGTGAGGTGATAAGTTTTGTTTCTATAGGTTTCAAACGTCAAAAAAGTAAAACATCAATCAATCGTTGTAGAGTGCTGAATTAAAATTTAATCACTAAGTGCAGAAATGTAGAAAAATTGTAAACAATCACGATTTGAAAATGATTTTTGAAATGTCTTCCAACAAAAATTATTTTCTCTGATCTGAAAGTATGAAAAAATAAATTCATAAAGAAACAAGTAGAAAAAAATACATTAGAATTGTCTGAATGACTTTCACGTCCTTGTTATCTCAAATTGTAAAATTGATACGACTAACCTTTGTAACGGAATCTCGGTGTGATTATTATGAATCGGTGTGAGGTCCCCGATGTTTTGAAGTTTCGTAGGCACTTATTATTATTGCACAGCCAAGCAAGTTTTATGACACAACCATGATTATTCATGAACGAATGACAAAAAAGTATCGACATCGTTCATTAGCTGTTTTGTTAATGAATGTCATTGTTAAAACAAATACACCTAATAAGAATAATAGAAGAAATTAACATATGAAAAAAATCAAATGAAACACAAAAATTGTACAATTAAATTGAGTTCGTACAAACGTATGCACAATAAATGAATAAAAAATATTTCAATCTAAAATTGTTCTAAATGTTTTCTTTTTCAAATGATAGAAAATATCAGTTGGATAATAGCACAATGTAAAATGTCAAGATTCTCTGGCTGCAGATTTCCATCTACGCGACCATATTTTGCGATACATTTATATTTTTAAATAACATTAATCGGTGCTTTCGACTTTCTTAAATTACTTAACTACATGTGAATATCATTTGGTCATATACATAAATTAATTCGTTGTTGTTGCTACATATTTCCTACAAAATATACATGGACGGTTTGAATGAAATAAGATTAGAACTGGAACTGTTTCTTCCTGGACATGAGGTGATGATCAACTGATCTGCTCGAAGCTCTGGCGTCTGCACGAAGCAATGAAGAGGAAGAGATGACGTGGTCGTCTTCACGTCCATCCATCCTTTCGCGCTGATCAGCACTGTTCATGTTTCTATACTTGTTAGGGATAATTCGGAGACTAGAGTTTGTGTAATTGTAGAATTCGTTTGATTTAGATGATGTAAACTGGTTGCAGTCGACGTTGGAGGTGTGCATGGCGTTACCTTCAACAAATCTCAATTGCCCAGCGTCATAATCATCAAGATCGTTCAATGACTGCAAGTTGGTCACTATCAATTGTTGCTTGCTTCTATGTTTCATCAACTCATTATATTTGTTGTTGCTGTTGCTGCTGTTTATGATGATTCTGTTGTTGCCGTTGTTGTTGTTAATGTTGAAATTCGTGTTTATGTTGTTGTTGTATTCTTTAAAACTACGCCTGATTGGTGTGTTGTTGTTTTTGCTGTTGTTGTTGTTGTTACTGTCGTTGACAGTGTGAAAAGCTTTGTTACTGTTCAAGCTTAAATCACTTTTATAAATGTTACTACTTCTTAAATCATTTATGAAAGGTTGCTTGGTGTTGAAACTATGATTGTTGGCTTGTTGAATAAACTGGTTGTAAAGGCCATTGCTTCGTTGCGAGCTGTTGCTCATTCTGCTGTTGCTGTTGAAACTGTTTCCCCTTAGACTGATGTCATCGAAACCGCCTGGTTGGTTGAAGTTGTTGAGAAACGACTGAGGTGCATTATTTGACGTCAGGCTATTATTGTTATTATTGTTGCTATTAATATTATTATTGTTGACCATGCTGTTGTTTACGACGTTGTAATTGTTGTTAACGTTGACGCTTTTGATAGAGTGTTTATTGTTGAAACTTTGGGAATTACTTCTTTGATGTTGCGCACTTTGTTGCAAAATTGCTTGCTGTGGATTTTCACCCAGTTGATTTTGCAGATTTGATTGTTGGTTTAATAGTAATTGTTGCTGTGAAAACTGTTGTATTTGTTGTTTTTGTTGGAGTTGATTTTGTAAAATTTGTTGTTGTTGGAGTTGTTGCTGGAGAATGATGCTGTTTGTATTAGAGCAACCGGATGGATCTTGCCTAACAAAATCCTTAACATCATCTTCCTCATCTGAGAAGTTGTTGTTGTTGTTGTCGTGAAGTGGGGCTGTATCGCTGTCGGTGGCAGCTTTGTTGGAGTTGTTATTTTGCATAGGACGAAAGTTCACCAGATCATCTTCATCATCATTCATCTTGATGTTTGTGTGTTGGTTGCAAGGTTTGATGGTGATGATGAGGTTGCTACTATTCGCTACCATCATGTCTGTCACCTGAAAATCATAAATCTCCATAAAATATGTAAAGAAATTAAAAAATACAACGGTAAAACACTTTGATTTGTAGAAAAATCTGACAGAGAAAAAGAAAATAACCTGATCAAGTGTCTTCCCAGCCACTTCAATACCATTGACCTCCAGAACTTCATCATTCACGGCCAACAATCCAGTGCTGGCTGCCAGGCCCCCAGGAACCAAACGAGATATGAAGATACCTGATACATTTGTTTGTAAATCAATATCAAAATTTATTTAAAAGTGATAGCTATACAATTTTTTTGATGATAATGGTGATGGCGTGGATACTTGAAAAAAAGTAATACAATGATGCAATGTTGACGATGGAAGAGGAGCGAATAGTTGAAAAGTTAATGCAGCAAGGGTGACATCTTAACCAGGAATTCTCTCCAATTGTCCAGTAGACGTTGGATGGATGCTGTAACCATCACGTACAAAAAATCCTAGCGGTTTATCCGACTGACTCTTCATCAACTTGACGCGACGCTGAGTGGCAGGCAGAATGTCAACATCTATTATTGCAGACACACACCTATGAATGAATTTTTCAAATTTTTATATTATATTTTGAAAAAAGCCACCCTTAATTTCCACGTTTATCTTCTACTGACACAATATAACGTTCTAATCTGGTAGAAAACTGTAACATAAATTTACTGGAACCTGAAATTTTCAGGTTGGCTGATATTTTTGCATGGGTAGTTTTTAACTTGATGGTCACCTTCTAATAATCGACTGATGATATTCTTGCGACCATGTGCAACTGTGCCATAGCCATATTGTAGTGATCCTGATAAAAACGTAAAAGAGTTGATTACTAAATAATTTTGATTCCATTTTTGGTTTTTTTAGGATTTGTAATATGAATGTGAGTTTAAATGCACTAAAATATTTAAAATATGCTCTCATTTTTACAATTGTCACTGGTAATCATTACAAGAAAACCATATTTCTTTTCGATTTCCAGATCATTTCTTTTATCATTATTTATCTGATATCATTTCTTTGATTTCTTTGTTTTGATTTGATGAAATAAAAAATGTCAAATGTCAAAATCCTATCAGAAAGGAGATAGTATTTAGTTGCAATGTACAATCTAAACAGAGTTTGCTAGATGCTAACAATTATTTTTAGGCCAACTTAGTTATTGCTGAAAAAAGTGTAATTAAATGAACCTTCCGTCAAATCTATAATATAAAAATAAATAAAATTAATTTAACAGAATTTAATACTAAATTGTGGAAATATAACACATTAGGCCTGATAAAATTAATTCTCTAGTCACATTGCACAACAATCAACATCAAAATTATGATCATAGCTAATTAAGAAAAACAACACTTGAAATAGTATAATTTTGAAGACTATATTTAGGCATAATAATTGAGATATATTATTTAAAACGTCCATCTAATGAAAATTTCTGAAATGACCAAACAACCTTTGTGTTGTACGACCAGTCTTAGAAGAGGTCTGCATACGTTTAGGGCATGGTGAAAATTCTCCTCATTGTTCAGTGGTAGCAGGTCACCTGGGGCATAGGTAAGTAGGTAGGAAGTTATTAATTACTATTATATTTCATAATTCTATCGTCTTGTTTCATACCTTGCTTGTTGTTACATTCTTTGCATTTGACAGAGTTTTATTTATACGATAAAAAAATTTCATTAATTCATTCATTCAATTAATCATTAATTTATTTATGTATTCATTTACTTATTTCTAAATTATATTCATTCATTCACTCATTGACTCGTTTAAATGAATTCGTTTATTTTTATTCATAAATTCCTTCATTTTCAGACAATCTTACACTTCTCTGATTGATTCATTCTTACACTTTTTTGATTAATTCCTACACTTCTTTGATTCTTACACTTCTTTGATTCTTACACTTCTTTGATTCATTCATTCTTACACTTTTTTGATTCATTCATTATTAAACTTCTTTGATTGATTCATTCTTACACTTCTTTGATTCATGCAATCTTACACTTCTTTTTTTATTCATTCATTCTTTCATTCTTACAGTTTTACACTCAATCATTAAAATGACATACTGAATTACCATTCAGTATGTTATAACATACTGAAATACCATCCATGAAACTAAAAAGAAGAAAAGTGAGGAATCATAATATTAACTTTTCAAAAAAGAATTCAGAACCAATTTTTTTAAACTGATTTTTTTTTAATTTAAAAAATTTTGAAAATTTGAATAAAATGAAGAGACAAATTGAAACTATGATTAACAGAGAAGCAAATATTTAAATATGAAATCCATGGAAGGTCTCTCATTCATGAATGTGTGTGAACATGAAGCAGTAAATTGAATATTTTAAAATGAAAACTCTACCTTCGTGGTCGGTGTATGTTAAATCGAAAGGTATATTATGGAGCCTGTGCACATCACGAACGAAATTCTGAAAGCTTTCAAGTGACCAATCCTTTTTCAAATCTATTGAGAATCTTCTGAACTCAGCGTCAAACTAATTTGATTGTTGAATTTAATTTTCAATAGAAAAAAAATTAATGTTTTTAAAAGTGGATGATGACAATCCTGTAAAATGACATGCAGGATTTAAACAAAGTAATTATCAAAGATAGGATCTCTAACGCTAACCTAATACTACTTTTGTTAACAATAAGTATTACAGTTTTAAAATAATTAATAAAAAAATATTGTAAAACATTTTAAGGAAACTTTTATAAATAGGACACTGTGTCAAACTATTAAGTATTAAAAACTATGATTCATTGTTTTAAAAAACTTTACTCATGAATTCGTCAATAGAGTATCGATTATTGTTTTAAAAAAGCTCGATATTATGTTAATTTTTGTGTAACGTGTGTGCACATATAATGCTAATTCATATAAAAATAAAAAAATGGTCTTTTGTTGAAAAGTTGAGACCTATTATAGAAAAAAAATATATAAACAAAGACAAAACATTAATTAAATCTATCAATCAATTTAAAAAAATCAAAATAAAACTTACAATTCTAAGCACCATAAAACTATCAGTAACCATCAAACACAACCAAACAAAAAATAATAAATATATTATCAAATAAATATTAAATAATATTAAATAACTTAAATGAACGGATGATAAAATTTTTGTAACTGGGAAATATTGAATGATAGAACAACACCTTGCTTTTGATCTCAAGCAGTCCAGTTTCCATTCTTGCTGCAAGTTTCATTTTCCTTGACAATGTACTCGACTCCAAAAACTGTTGGTAAGTTAACATGCTTAGTAAATTAAATCTCGTTTTTTTACAATTTTTTTTACATTTGAATACTTTTGTTGAATCAGATTCAGAATTTAGTAGGACAATTATAATCACATTAACTAATTTGCATTATTTTAATATCATTCAATAAATAAAAAAAAATGTTTTAGTAAATCATTAAACATTACAAATTATAATCCACAAATTGATGATTTTTAACAACATCCATCACACAGGCAAAGGTGAAAAGATTACCAAAAAGTAGAAAAAATTAAATCCAAATAATAAATAATTTATTCTGATTGAATAGATTTCCTCAAGTGTTTGTTATATGAAACATCATGATGGGTAAAAAATAAATAAAATGAATTATAATTATAACTTTGATTACTCTTCTACTTTCTTACTTACTTTTAAATCTTAACTTAACTAGTTACCAATTAACATATTTTCAGTCAGCCACTAAGTTTAGTAAGTAACTGAAATTATTTAGCTATCTAAACTTAGGCTTACATACTTAGAAGTTAGTTAGAGATCAGACATCAATCAGTCAGATGACAAAATTTTAAAGACAATAAATTTCATGTTAATTTGATCATACAAAATATGGTTAGAAGAAATTGATGAAAGTAATTTTTATTAAAAATTATGAAAAAATAAAAAACTAACCGTAAACATGGTCCGTCGGTGTCCCGTACTGATACTAAAACTAAATGAATTGAAATTGATTCAACATACAAGATTCAATCAATCAACAAAATCAAATGAATGATACTTGAATTCTGAATTGAAAATTTACCAAAAATATTCTCTGATTGGACTCGATTGATATGAAAATTCAGTTAAACACTCCACAAATTATAAATATCTGTAGTAATTAGTATTTATTACAATTTTAAATTACCATTCTAATAAATAAAACTCTACCATTTTGTTGTTGCTAGAAAAACTGATTATTTACCTGTCCAATCATCATATAATATAGGTAACTAAATCGTTAGGTGGGTTAATGTTAATAAATGTTGGAGCGCCCAACAATGAGCACAAAATAAAAGCTAATTCTGTAAGAATTGAAACTGAAAAAGTGTAATGATTTTTTAAACGTGCTTTATTATATCTTATTACACAATATTATATTTATTGTTAAAAATTTTAACACGCCTTTAATTAATAGACTCAGATTTCAGCAAATAAGGGAATGAGATCTGTTAAATAAAAACTTTTGGATCTAGTTAATCCAATGGTACCCATGAATAGTTTCAAATAATAGAATCATAGAAGCAGTTTACTGAATTTGTTGATGGTATGAGGCATGTGGAAGTAAATGATGCACTCACCATTACGGTGATTACTGTACTATTGTGTTTTCATGTTTATTAACTGTATATAAAACATCGAATAAGTTATCAAAATGGCACTGTCGCAATGGTGATTATCTATCATTAAACCATATATATATATATATATATATATATATATATATATATATATATATATATATATATATATATATATATACAAATTTTGAAAAAATGCTAGATCCAGAGGTAGTTCTTTATTCTTGGAATTCAAAACATTAAGAAACATGATCAAGAAAAACATTTTAACGTTTAAACAATCAAACATGTAAATGTTAGCATCTAAGATCAAAGTGAAAAAAGGCATTCTGGCAGCAGATAAAAAAAGAAACCGTTTTTAAATGACACCCCTTGCAGTTTTTAAATAAAAAGAATGGCAAAGAAAAAAAAATTTTACAGACGAGTTTGATTGAACTAATCTATTGGCTGAATATTTCTATAGTGTCTTCATTATACCCGAATAGTTGGCGAATCCAACAAGAAAAATGAATGGTTGTCTGAGATTTGTTAACAGAATATGATTGAGGGTTTAATTTATCTATTTGAAAACGCTTTCACCAAGAGTGCCTGTAACAACAGCATTACCAAGAACCTCCACAACCCAGAGTATTCCAACACCAGCAACAACCAAAGAGTTCATCGTGCAGTTGTCGTGGTGGGCCACCAACGTATTAGAGCTCTTGCTATCCTTTTTGTCATAAGGTGAAAATTTTTGGCTTGAAATGAATGAAAGAAAAAAACAGGAATAAGAAAGAAAATGATAGATTTGAACATGTTTTTATTAAATTTTTAAGAGATTTTGAGTTGTTTTCATAAATATTGGCTAATCAAGCGATTACAGAGCTTTGACATTTTAAACCACAAATTTTTAATTAACAAAGTTTAGTATTTCAATTGAAAGTTAATAAATTAAATAGAGCAAAAAACTTTCGAAAAATTTTGAAATTTTGACGAACAAACAAAGGACAACATATTGGTATGGATGTTTAAACTCGGATAAACAAATTAAATTCGTAATAATAATGTTGGTAATAATATCAAAATTAGTAAAAGTAATAGTGGTAGAAACCGGTTTTCAGTCAACATTTTTACGAGTTTGTATAAATATTTTGTTCAATATTTTTCTTAACACAAGTTTGGGAGGCTCTTGCCCTAAAGTCCCCTCGTGCCTAAATCTCTAAGTGGTAATCTCTAAGTCGTACCTCTTGAAATGCTTTTTGCATTTCAAGAGGTACGACTTAATTGAATTCACCAAACCCATACTTGAATTCAAGAAACATCTCTTGAAAATCTTGAAGCACCTTCTGGCAATTGTTTTTTACTCTGAGAGACAATCATAATTATTGCAATAAAAAAAAACATAAGTACTCTAATAAAAATATGAAGAGTGCAATAGACCTTTAAACATTTTCAACTTTTAAATATATTTTACCATTTATATATCAGTAATACAAAAAATCAATCAAGGATCGGCACTCCGAATTGTAATATTTAATTAAGATGTTTTTCACCAAATCCGTCTCAACGTTCAAGATTTGACCATTGGACATTTAAAAAATTGTAAGTACGTCAGATAATGTTAGTTAAATTATAAAATTATTTATCAGTCTTTTTGTCTGTTTGTATGTGTATGGGTGTTTGCTTGTGTGTGTGTATGTGGATAGATACATATTCCGCATCAGCATATATAGCGAAATCTTGTTCAGAATTGTCGTGATTTTCCAAATTTTTTGAGAGTTAGGTAGTTACGACAGAACAACGACAACATCAATAATGGCATCGATATCGAGCATTCTTATTTGCAGCCCGCTGCGAGTAGTTGTAATAATGTTGTTCGCGATTACCATCATACCGACTGGTTCGACTGGTCCGACAACTACAAAAACCTATTTCTATACAACGGCAAGAGATGAACACACAGCAAAAAACTATTTTACAACGAGAGAATATGGTTCAACTATCCAGATGTTTACAACCCAGGGAAGCACGCCTGCAACAGTGACATTGCCATCAATAACAACACGACCATCAACAAAACACGGAAAAAATTTAGACGACGCTCGATTCGTCTGCATCAACTCTTATTGCGTCTTTTATAACTGGTTCTACCCGACGTCTGGAGTTCAACACACAACCACAAGAAACTATTTCTACCCAACATCAGAAGTTCAACACTCCACCACAAGAAACTATTTCTACCCGACATCAGGAGTTCAATACACAACCACAAGAAACTATTTCTACCCGACATCTGGAGTTCAACACACAACCACAAGAAACTATTTCTACCCGACATCAGGAGTTCAACACTCCACCACAAGAAACTATTTCTACCCGACATCAGAAGTTCAATACACAACCACAAGAAACTATTTCTACCCGACATCAGGAGTTCAACACTCCACCACAAGAAACTATTTCTACCCGACATCTGGAGTTCAACACACAACCACAAGAAACTATTTCTACCCAACATCAGGAGTTCAACACTCCACCACAAGAAACTATTTCTACCCGACATCTGGAGTTCAACACTCCACCACAAGAAACTATTTCTACCCGACATCAGGAGTTCAATACACAACCACAAGAAACTATTTCTACCCGACATCAGGAGTTCAACACTCCACCACAAGAAACTATTTCTACCCGACATCAGGAGTTCAATACACAACCACAAGAAACTATTTCTACCCGACATCAGGAGTTCAACACTCCACCACAAGAAACTATTTCTACCCGACATCAGGAGTTCAACACACAACCACAAGAAACTATTTCTACCCGACATCAGGAGTTCAACACTCCACCACAAGAAACTATTTCTACCCAACATCAGAAGTTCAACACTCCACCACAAGAAACTATTTCTACCCGACATCAGGAGTTCAATACACAACCACAAGAAACTATTTCTACCCGACATCTGGAGTTCAACACACAAGCGACTATTTTACGACGAGAGAATCTGGTTCAACCATCCATTTATTCTCCAGCCAGAAAAGCTCGCCCGCACCAGTGACAGCAACAACGAGACCAAAAAATGATGCTCGATTCTTCTGCATCGGCTCCTTTTGCATTTTTTATAACTGGTTTTGATATTTTGAAGAATAAACAAGGAAAATTAGCGTTTTCATCATTTCGTTTATCATATTTTCTATCATTGTGGATGATATATTTGTAAAATTCATAACTTAAATTTTAAAAACGAAAGAATTAATTGTTAGGTAATATTAATAAAATCTACAATAATATATTACTAACAACGATGACGTCATTTATGAAAAAAAGAATTAAGACGCTTTCACTGACAAATAAATATTGTTAACGATCATTTCATTTATTTACCAATTAATTTCTTACTGATGACGACGGTGATGGTTATGACGTCAATTAGGTACTACTTTATGTTTAGAAGGTGGCGCTTATATGTGTAGTAAATTAAGTAAATTGAGTATTCTAAAGCTGCTAGTGTTTTAATTTTTAAATGTCTATTAAAAATACTTTTAAAGATTTATGGTTGCAACTTACTTAATCTAGTTTTAAAGTGTTTTTCTATATTTCATTCAAAACCATTTTAACAAAAAAATTTGCCGAAAAGAAATTGAACCTCTAACAGACTATAATAGCAGATTCAATTTTCTATAAGCAAACGTTTCCACTTATATGAAGCTATAGTCGTAACTATTTTAATGGAGTTTTAAAGTATTTTCATGACAATACAATTTTTATTAGAAAACATTTGTCAAACGAGTCTAACAGTTGTCTGAGATTTTTTTAACAGAATATGACAGCGGGTTTTAGAAAACGCTTCCTCTTATATGAAGTTAGGGTTGCAAGTTTATAAATCGAGTTTTAATAGATTTTTCGATATTTTGTTAAAAATTGCTGAAAAAAAGTTGAACGGTTGTTTGATATATTTTTATTGCATATTAACATCACAATGATGTAGGATATTACATCCTAAATTATTTCCTAACAATTTTAAAGCTCAATTTCGCAGCATTTTATTTTGATTCACGCAATTGATGTCTTGAACCGAATCATGGATAATATGTCTAAAATTTCATGTAAGGATAATTAATACCTTATGGGCATAATAAATCATCTTTAAGTTTAAGTGAATTTCGAAAAATCACAATCTGTTAACAGACTCCTAAACAGGTTGCAGGCAACAAAATAACAAAAAGTTGACATTTGTGAACATGTGGGCAAAAATTTATTAATCAAATGCATACATTTTAAAAATATTAAGATTGCAAGAAGCATAACCTAAAAGAGTTAAAATTATCAACAATATATTGATATGAAATGTGATTAACTATTTTGTCACTAGATTTATTTGAGGCACCAGTAAACAAATAAGGTTGTATGCCAATTTGTTGTGCTGGAATGAAATCCTCACAATAGTCATCTCCAATATGAACCGTCTCTTCTGGCCTCACATTGGCAAGCTCCAAAGTGTACAAAAAAATTTTGGTATCTGGTTTTTCTGATTTTGCTATCCTTGAATTGACCAACAAATCAAAATATTGATACAAATTTAATGCTTTGAAGACGGAAGGTAATCTTTCGTCAAAGTTAGACACAACAGCCAATTTGAATCCTGCATTTTTTAAATCATTCAACATTTTTTTGACATCATTTATAACTTTCCAACTTTGATTAGTACCAAAATTATGATAAAGTTGATTTACAATTTTGCACATCAAATCATCTGGCACAGTGTAACCAGCTTCATCAAAAACATTTTTTATGAACATCTCCCACCACTGTCTGCTCTTTATACCTTGATTGAGACCGTAGTTGGGATATTTCAATTTCAGTGTCTTCCAGGTAGGCCTGCAAGAATGTATTAATAAATACTATCAATTCAAATAAACATTTTGACTATTGCTTATTGATAAACTTTGTTAAATCGTCAAAATAACCATTATTTTTTACCCATAGGCTTCACTGATTTTTTCTATGGCAACAGGATAGCCATTCTGTTTTGCTGCTTCGTAATACTGTTTGAACGGACAAGGACTCACTTTTATTAACGTATTGACAGCATCAAATGTCAACAGTTTAATCTTTGCGGCGGCCATATCAGTTTGAATATGATGAAAATTGAAATTGCATAAAATTTCTTAATAAATAAGATGCACAAGCTGTATTGTATAAGAAAGCACTTTTTAAAAAAATAAGCAGGCAGAGAAAAATCAAAAATAATTAGTAAAGAATAACTTAATAATTTGATTTTAATGATTGTTAAAATGTTAATTTTAATTGCTATTTCTTTTATTTTATTTTTAATTTAATTTAATTTTTATAGAAAAGAAAACAAAGATAACCAAAATGTCAAGTTACAATTAAATTAATTTAACTTAGTTGTAGAAAAATATTTAATATTCATTGAAACTAAACTAAATGTTAAAACATTTAGAATGTTCTCTAAAAAATTAGAATTTTTTTTGAGGCGTTAATAAAACCTATTCGTTTTCAAACATAATAATTTAAAATCCGAACAGATGATCAACTTGTTTAGTGAAGCTTTCGACGAAGTTTACAATTTTTTTTTTGGAATAAGATAAGGACCATGGAGTTTTGGCATTATATAATATATTATTAAAATAATTATATTATATTACACAGAGTTTTTAAGGTATGAATAAACTCGAAATATTACAATTATTTTTTGATAAAATCGAAAAAAGTTGACGCTGTGTGGAAAAAAGTTCTACCTGACTTAACTTTTGCATGGTTTGTTTACGTATATATATGAGAATTTTACTACTTGTCGGCGGTTTCGTTCGCTTCGTTTGTTCGCTCAAATTCACAATTGGCAATTAGTAAAACATAAAAGTCATAATAAACTAGTTGCACCAGATTTACCTGCAAAAGTCGAGAATAAACTGTTAAGTTTTTTTGTTTATTTTTTTAGATTCAATTTTTTATTTTACATTTCATGTACTATGAACTATTTACTTTTACTATGTATGTAGTAATTTTAATATAATTTTTAAATTAAACTTGTATTAATTAATAGACATTTTAATTTTTAATTATTAATGTAAATAAAAATAAATAAATAATAATGTATTCTTTTTGCTTCTCTTTTTTAAACAGAACTAAGGCCATTGTAAATTTTAAACTATTGCTTTGTCTCTGTATTCTTTGTATATATTATATATATATATATATATATTTACAATATTCTATAAATTCTACCGAATGTTTGGCATTAATATGTTTGTAGTTCGTTTTTTCGATTTTTCTCACTAAAGTTTTTTGGTGAACCTATAGTTTATTAAAATTGAAAATAAACTTATTTTTCGAATTCATGCTGCAAATAAGGCCATATTTTGATTCCGAAACGAACTACAAACATATTAATGCCAAACATTCGGTAGAATTAAAATTATGGTCTATTACCAACATATAATATATGTCATATATATATATATATATATATATATAATAAATAAATACAGTATTATTATACAATATTTGGTTAACTTAAAATAAAATTTACTATTTTATCCGTCTTAAAAAAGGAAAAGGGTATAAGTAAGAAAAATATTGTTCACTCAACAATCAACATATTTCAAAATATTCTGCAGACTTATTTTATATATTTATAAATTGGTTCAAGTCAAGTGTATGCTTTTTTATTAGTTTATTTTTATTAGAGCATTGAGCTTGACTCTTTTCTTTTGTTAAAGTGTATTTTTTTTTTAAATTTTTTTTCACAGAGTTTTTATTCTCTGATACAAATGCCATCATTGAAAAGAAAGCATGGAGAATTGGAAGATGGCTATTCAGAAAAAGATCTTAAAACAGTACATAGTATCAACAAGTGGAAATCTTCAATATCCTCTTCTAGTCAAAGACTTAGATACAGAGTTTCATCAGGTGTTAATACTTCTTTAAGGCAATCATCATTGAATCTTTCTACTTCATACAGGGGAGTAGTCAGTTCCTCTAAATATCATTATCAAAATGTGATCAATTCAAAATTACGAACCCAGAGAGTGAATGCAAAAAAAAAAGTTGAAAAAGACAATAAAAATATCATCAAATCACTGAAGCATCCAAAGAATATTATTGACTCAAAGGTGATAGATGACATGTTGTTTACTCCACTATCATATGAAACATTGAAACAAAACATGATAAGTTACTTTGGGACCAAATGTCAGTTAGCAGAAGGTCGTCAGTTAAACATTTTAGGCAGTAGAATATCTCCAGAAAATAAAGTTGAATACCTCGTTAAATGGCTGTGATAAATATTTATTTAAAATCATCTTCATAACTTTTTCATCTTCTTTGGGTGCCTTTTGATTATAAAACATTATATATTTGTCTGTTGTATGTGAGTGTGTATGTGTATTTTTTATGCCTTTTTCATTCTTGTTGTCGTTATATATTTATTTTTTATCATTTCTTTTATCAAATAAATTTTAGCTCAGTGTTTGGGTTGCTTCATGTTCTATTCATTTTTTGAAATTACATACGTCAAGTCTTATGTTTTACAGTAAACTGGAGTAAAGTTTACGTCTCGTTCATTCTTATTTAGGTTGGCTACTTTCAACAAGAAAATTACGATGGTAACTCACGTTATCTGAAAATTAAATCTAATGAGCGCTTGCTTATAGTGCTATAGCTCAATTTTTAGTTTCACAACCATTAAAGAATGTCTCATCCGTTGAATATTTTTTAAACCGATTTGTCGTTTAGTTGTACCTCTATGAGGCGTCAAAAATCCAGAAACGTAGTTTATCATTAATTATTTTGTTAAATTGTTTACGCGAGTTCTCTTATTTTTTAAAGTTTGAAATTAGGCTTAAGAGTTAGTTTTTTGCTAAATTAAAGTTCAATTGTAAAATGTTTTGTTGACTTCTTGTCAATCAAAATGACGCTTGCTTTGCTTTGTTGTTTTTGTTTTGTTTGGCTTGTTAGTGCTTGCTTTCTTTTTGTGTTGTCTGTCCTGTAGTTTTTTTGTTCTAATTCATTAAGTTGATGTCCCATGATACAAGTCAATGTCAAACAATTTTTTTATTATATCTCAACTTGAGCAGTTTCCAATCACGCCTGTTGTCGTGATGACTTTGTCCGGGTTTTTGTCTTTATTTACTTCAATTTTTCCAAATTGTCAAACAAGTTGTAGTCAAAAATAAAATGAAAAAATGCTCAAGGTATCATAGACAGATGGTATTACTGCAAAGCTGAAGTGAAGCTTCATTACACATATGTAATTTAATTAATGTACAGTTCAATTGTACAATTGCAGAAAAATGGCAACAGCAGGACCATATAACTATTCATACATTTTCAAGTACATAATCATTGGGGATATGGGAGTGGGAAAGTCCTGTTTACTGCATCAGTTCACAGAAAAAAAATGTAGCTTATAATTATAACATTATTTTTTATCATAAATTACTTTTTGTATAATAAATAAAATATGGAGTATGTCAATTTAATTTTTTTATTATTAATGTGTGACTTAATCTAGAACAGAGTAACTCATTAATAAATTTATTTTTAAAGTCATGGCAGATTGTCCCCATACTATTGGAGTTGAATTTGGTACAAGGTCAGTTTTAGAAACTGTTCTTGTTTGTACATTAGTTACAAAAGTTAAACTAGCTAGTCTTCAGTATTGTGTGTATATATATATATATATATATATATATATATATATATATATATATATATCAGCAAACTTTTGTATTTCAGTTTTTTTTTGTAAATGTTGGTCACTTTGTACATTTTAATGTCTGATGATAACTATTTCCAGGATAATAGAAGTTGCAGGCCAAAAGATAAAACTTCAGATATGGGACACAGCAGGTCAGGAAAGGTTTAGGGCAGTGACTAGAAGTTATTACAGGGGAGCAGCCGGGGCTCTTATGGTTTATGATATTACCAGGTCATTCTACCTAAATTTCTATATCCCAAAAAATAACCTTCAATTTTGTTTCAAAATGTTCTAAAGTATATTTTTGTATTTGTTTTTCAGGAGAAGTACATATAATCATCTAAACAGCTGGCTATCCGATGCTAGAAATCTCACAAACCCTAATACCGTTGGTGTCTAACTTGTAGTGTATTTAATATTCACAGCCACTTCATTAAACCCATTGCACATGCAAGCTAATCTTGTAAAATGTCTGACTGATGTGGCAGAATATTGTGTCATTGTTGTTTTTGTTCAGGCGTTATAAATGAGGTTAATTGGAATGAACTTCAGGTGTGATTTGTTAAATGTAGTATAGTTCTTAGCTTTAGAAATTGTTTTACTCATTGGTTAAATGATGATGATGATGGTGGTGGTGGAAGAAAATAAGTGATTGAAACTATTTTATATGAATTGCTTTTTCTAATAATGGTTAAAAATGTTGAATGCTTTTAGTAGCTAGTTTGTTTGTTGTCATGATATTTTGAAACATATTTAACAATGTGTCCTGTCGAATCCTTAGAAATTCGGCTTTATAAGTTTGATTGATTGATTGGTTATTTGATTGATTGATTGAAATAAATTTCAGGTGATTTTCATGGTTGGGAATAAGTCAGATCTGGAGGCACAAAGGGATGTCACTTATGAGGAAGCCAAACAGTTTGCAGATGAAAATGGTTTTTGTGAATTTTAAAAAAAATTTTTTAATTAGTAAATTTTCCAGTTATACTTCCATTTTTGGGCAATCATTCATTTCATTTTGACAAAGTAGTTTTAAAACTAATCAGTTTTACTTTTGACAAAAAAATTCAGTTCTGATTTTATAAATGAAATGATTTTTCATTATAGAAATGTAATAATTCATTAATAAAGATGATCTAGTTGTAAATATAAGTATAAAATAAGTTTAAAGTGTGTTTCAAATGTTCTAGCTATTCCACAGTCTGAAAGTTTTTATTGTATTCGAAATGAAGATTGTTTCAAAAAACAGAATATAGTTTTTTGTTTTTTTTCAGTGTTCTTTCACCTGTCATGTTATTTTACATAAAGTTAAATAAAGCATGAATTTTTTTAACTTTTAGGACTCTTATTCATGGAATCAAGTGCAAAAACGTCTGTACACCTTTTAGTTTTTTCATTTAATTGTCTATTGCAGTATTCCTAATGTAAATTTGCAGTATTGCTAATGTAAATGTGCAGTATCTATATTGTAAATATAGTTCTTGAAAAGATTTATATGGCCTATGCCATTAAGGCATGCTTGTATTCATATAGTAACAAGTTGCTAATGGTTATTTATATTTATGGGATGTAGGTGGTTGATTTCATTTATATTTACCATTTGGTGGAAAACATTTTATGTTAACCCAATTAATAATACCTTCTGATCTGAGAGTATAAATGCAGTTTGTGTACATAACTTTGTGCACATTTTGTTTCTGTTTCTGTTTAAAAGCTTACTGCATGAATGAGAATAGATCTTGTTAATATTATGCCACTGGTTGCGTGTTACAGTAATTTAATTTCACTATATATAAGCCTAAATATTTCAAATAAAATTTTTTAATGATACTTTTTGATTTTGTTGAATTGAATTTAGCCTGTAGTAATGTTGCTTGGTTGAATGTTACAGGGGAGATAATGTTGAGGATGCATTTTTAGATACAGCCAAGAAAATATATCAGAACATACAGGATGGAAGGTTGCTAGTAGTATTCACATACATACATTTTTATCATACTTATAATTATTCTACATGGGCTGTTATGATTATGTTGTACAAATTCTCCTATATCTATTTATAATTAATCATTACTTTCAAACGCTTTTGTACAACACTGGGGAATTCAAGTTAGTTCAGTCAGTAGAAGTGCCTTGTCTCGCGCTGCTATTACGCGATGGCATGTTTCGAATACCGTCTGTTCGAAACTCGAAGACCATCATACTCGCATGATGCCATTCTTGCGCGTGCATACATGAAGTGTTTGTGCGTCGTGTGATGTGGTGCGTCGTGTGGTGTGGATAGTGTTCAGCCTCTGTGGCACGAAAGTTTAATTATAAGTATCGAATAAAATGTAAGCAGTTCCGTAATGTAATATGATGACACGGATGTAATGTGATGACGCTGATGTGAAACTCATGTACTGTAATGACACTGATGTGGTAGGATTGACATGCAATGATTACAACAAGTGATATTTTATTATTTCAGTTTGGATTTGAATGCGGCAGAGTCAGGCGTCCAACACAAGCCAATGGCAGCCAGGGGTGGATCACTTGCCAATGATCAAACTGCTAGCAGAGATGGATGCTCTTGTTAATTTTAATGGATAATATCTTAAATTATCAATGACCTCTCTATCATTCTATCGTCGGTGGTGACTTGTGCAAAGATGACCTGATAAATTTCTATTTATTGTAACCATTGCTCGTTGTCACATATGACTATATTTATCCTTATAATCATCATTAGTAATGTTTTATATCATTTTTTTTGCGTTATAACAATAATTATTTCTAACAAGCTTACATGTGCAAAAATCGATGTAACATTTTTTTATGATTGTTTGATGTTATTCTTATGTAACAAATGGGACTTGTCAGACAATACAAAAAATTTATTTATGTTAAAAATTTTGGAATATTGCAGTTAAGTGATTCAACAAATAATTGTAATTTATATTTTCACCACTTATTAATTTACTTTCTATATTTACAAACTGCTATTAAAAGATAGCTTAATAATTAATATTAAAAGCATTCTATTATTATTAGTTTCATTAAAATGGCTTGTAATAAATTAGTTTAAAACGAGACTGTTTAATTTATTTGATCTAGTTCGAAATATTTCTTGCTTGTTTCATTACGTTTTACTCCAATTAATTTTTGTTAAAAACAATAATATTCATTTTTTATTAGTAGTAGCTTAAATTAAAATCATTACGAATTCTATTAAGAACCTCTTGTTCGTATATAGTACAAAAATGTTTAGTTTTAATTTTGTTGAAATGTTAGTAAATTGATCACTGTTTAATCATGTTACGTAAATCTACATTTTTAAAAACTTTTGCATTACCAGAAATTGTCATTTCCATACCTAGGAATGCGGCATACTTTTTTGACTTTAATTAAACTCTTGGCTGTTTTGTTTAGTTCTTTCTAATTTCTATTGCATCATATTGATTGTTTATAGACTAGTTTACTTATTTATGCTGGTTGTTAATTTATATTTTTTTATTTAGCTCAAAGGTTAATAATTATTAGTTTTTTTTTGTGATTTATGTAAGATAATAAGTTAAATTTTTATTAGAATTAAAACGTTGAAAGAGAGGATGGCGTCATTCTATTTTGATGCTCCTTTACATGTTTTGTTCATGTGTAGATTTCACATTGTTCATATAACCTTTGTCATTCCAACTGCAATAGAATATTAATGGCTTTACATTGAAAGAAATTCGTGAAAGCTAAAATGTTAATCTGATTATACATGCATATATATGTTTAAGCACGTTTGAACGTGATTGTAATGGCTTAATATTACGATTTTCCAGAACAGATTGATGGGTTTTTAGACCATTCTAAAGTTATTTTTCTAAATTTGGAAATTTATATAAGTCAGAAATAAAAAGGAATTAACGATACGGCATGTACTTCCTAGCCTAAACAGTTGTAAAAAAAATAAAATTGAACTAATTATTAAACTGATAAACTTATTGTATTCGAGGTATAAAAAATTAAGGTAGGAAGAGGCAAACGTAAGCGTGCAACACATTGCGTACACTTAACTCATTCAAAGATAGACGCGTTTCTTCTCTTCATCGGACTCACTAGTAGCTCGAATTATATAAATAATATAACAACATATAAAATATCAAATTATATTTTGGTAATTAATTATCATATACTTAGAATTGTTAATGATTGTTTTAATTGTACAATAGAAATAATAATTTCTAATTGGTTTTCCACATTTAGAGAGTTGTGAAACAAAGTTGTAAATGTTGCCAACTCAAACGTGTATAAATGATCGCGCTGGTTGTTCTTCCGTTCATTCTCATCGTCAGCCATCTTGCTAAACTTGCTTGTCTGTTCTTGCTCGTCTGTCCGGAATTATTTTTGCCAGTTCTCAGTTAAAAATCACAATGAGCGATCACGAGGTATTTTTGTTTGATTTTGTTATTTAAAATTTTTGATTCTTTAATAAATTTATTTATTGTTTTATTTAAGAAAATCGTTTTCAGTATTCCGAGATTATTTTTTAATTTGTAATGCCGTTTACGACTTTACGTTTATTACGAACGCTCAGCTTCACTTTTAAAGTTTGAAGCTATTTCGAAAAAATAAAAATTATTGCAAATCAATTATTTTATAAGATGAAACATGAGTTTAAGTTTTGATATTTTGTGGGTTGGTTTCTTTGTGATGTGTTGTTTAGCATATAATAATTAATAATTATATATGTTTCATATATATATATATATAATATATAGTAGGGTGTTTAGCATGTAGGATGTTTGTAACTCTGAACTCAAGAAGAGTGTATTGTATTGTAATGTATTGCATTGCATTGCATGATTTGTATGGGATTTGTATTTTTCTTGAAAGAACATAAGAAACGCTTAGATGATTCTTTAAACGCTTTTTGAAAATTGTCTTGAAAACCTGTCGGGTTATATTACCAATTCTTTTAACCCTTTTTCCAAGAGATATAATAGTTTATTATGTTTCACACTAGAAAAGATTAAGAATAAGAATGGAATCATCACTTCATCTGTCATCAGAATTAGAAAAAATTAGTGTGATGTTGGTGTTATATAGTTATAATACAATAGCAATATGCTAAACTAAGGGCAATGGTTCATAACATGGAATGAAAAGTTATCATTACATTATGTGACAGATAGTTGGGTTTATATATTTAATTTTTTTATTCCTATTAATTTTGCCCCATTATTTGTTTTTTATTTTTTGTTTTTTGCTTCTGAAACATTGTTTTATAAGGCTTGTGGGTAAAAATTTATTTATTTATAAATTATGTTTCAGCAGAATTCGGATGAAAGTTTTTCAAAGAATAAGTCAGCCTCCAGATCGAGGTCTAGGTCTGCCACTCCAGTAAAGGGAAAAAAGTCGAAAGTTTCCAAATCTAGGTATTTATTTGTCAGTGTTTAAAAGTGTGTTGCATTTGATAATATTTTATTATTTTGGAAGGGAAGTTGATATGATTCACTTTTTATTCTTGTTTTTGATTTTGTTTACTATGGTAATGTAATTAATTTATAATTTTAGTAGCGTGTTTATTAATAAGGCTGCATAGACATGTTTTTCGCATTTTTCAAATGATCATGCTTGTAATGTTCACAAAGTTTGTGTTTGAACATGTTTAGAAAAGGCAATTAACAAAAATTAATGTCACTAATCTAAAGCTGTCGTATAAAAAAGTCAATAATAATATGTTTAATTTTATTGCATGCTTTTCAAATCAATGCTTTATATCATTATTTTCACTAACTTTTTAACTCAAAGTATTTTTTTTTCTCAGATCAAGGACTCCTAGAAGACGAAAGTATGTCTTTTGACACTTTTGATTGTTAATTGAATGTGTATTGTTTGTTGATTTAAAAGTCATGCATAAATTTTGATTAATTGGATGTGTTTATAAAATGGTCCAAATGTTAAAATTTTTAGGCATTCCAAAAAATATTCTCCATCGAGATCAAGGAGTCGTAGCTACCAGAAGTACAGTAGATCTCGTTCACGTGGAAGGAGAGATTCTTATGATGAGAGAAGGTATCCTTCTTGCTTTTCGTCCATTTTAATTATTTTCATTTTAGGATTACTTAGCTGTTTTAAGAAGCAATATTCATAGTAATTGGTATGTTAGTAAAAAGGTTATTAATTTGAGTTATTTATTTTTTGCGTGGCAGGGATTATTCAAGATCAAGGCACAAAAGATCAGCCAGTAGATCACCTCTCTCCAGGAGAAGGAGACACAGGGGAGATAGAGTCAGTATTTGATTTTTATGTTTTTTAATTTTTATGTTTTTGAATTTTTATATTCCTTGGTTATCTGTTTGTTGACTTAGGGTCATTATATGATTTTTATGTTTCTAATGTTAAAGTTCTTTAGCTATCTGTTTGTTGATATAAATATTTTAATTAATTTTATGTTTATCAATTTGTTAATTTAATAATGCCGATTACATCATCAGGAGAATCCAAAGGAAAGCAAATGCATTGGTGTCTTTGGAATGAGCTTGCACACGGATGAACGAACGATTCGTGATGTATTTGAGAGATACGGCCCAATTGATGAAGTTCAAATAGTATATGATTACCACACTGGAAGATCTAGAGGATTTGCTTTTGTCTATTATAAATATATTGATGATGCTGTCGATGTTAGTATTCTTTTTTTAATGCTTTTTTCATTTGCTCTGCTATCAATGTTTATTCTATATTTAGTTCTTGCCATTCTTCACCATTGATCCTATTATGAGCTGTCACATTATTTTTAGATATTCCTGTTTATGTTATATGTCGATGCAAATTATATTTTGATGCTGGCTGTCTTTTTGGTGAGTCTATGTTCATTCATTACGCCTTAATTGATATTTAAATGTCATTGATAAATACAGTTGGATTGAAGAATGAAATGAATTTTGAGAATAATGTGTGGGTGGTGGTTACTTTGAAGTGCTATTCATGGCCACCAGTTTTTACCAAACTGAATGGACATTCATTTGTCTTGTTAGCTGCCTGATATGAGAAAAATTGAAGATAGAAAAATGTTTTCGTGATAAATTAGAAGTGATAAATTAGAAGATGAATTAAAAGTATGCGGGTGAAGCTTAGTGAAAAACAGGAAAATGAACGAATTTAAGAAAAATGAAATAAGAAGTTAATTGTTAGTTTGGTTAGTTTTCATTGAACATATACGTGTATATGTATATAGTATCAATTAATTAACTAACTACCTGCTTGGTTGGATTATTTTTTGTTCAACAAAAGTGCATATAATTGATTTTCGTTTTAATTTAAATATTTCATTGTGAGATCATTTGTTTCATTTTTTGACTTTGATTTTTTGCATGCTTTTCATTTATTTTTACATGTAATTTTACATAGTTCAGAAAACTATGAGTTTATAATTATTAATAAAAAGTTTCATTTCACTCATTTTTTAGATTTTTTTATCCATTGTGAATCATATCTTAACTCTATATACTTTACTGGTTTCTGATTTTTATCTTTAAACATTTAAATAGGCGAAAGAGAATGCACCCGGTGTGGAAATTGATGGTCATAAGATCAGAGTTGATTATTCCATAACCGAGAGAGCCCACACACCAACACCTGGAACATACTTGGGGTTGTTAGTACTTGTCAATAAATTAATTAATGTTTCACCTAATCTTTTTATCGACATGCTATGAAAAGAATTAACCTAAATTTTGTTATAATAATTCTAATTATAATGCAAATTGTTCAACAGCAAAGGAGGTTACAGAGGTAACGAGCGAGGCAAGCACAAATCTCCCTCACCAGCCAGAAGAGGTGGAGGAGGAGGTAGATACAGATCGTATTCCAGGTCACCATCAAGAGGTAAGTAATGCAATGTGAGTCACACAGCAACTTTTTTCTCAAAAAATTTATCTTCTCAGAATAGATATACAATCTTTTCATTTTTATTAACTTCTAATTATTTTTTCATGATTTATTCAGATAGATATTGAAGAACCAGATGGCATTGATGTCTATGACTAACCATTAACTGCGTTTTAGTTCTATTTTACAATTAATTGATGACGTACTTGATTTGGTTTTTTATGTATTATAATGATATACATACTGGTTATTTTATGGCTATATTTTATTTATCTGTATGAGTTATGAATGTTCAGTGCCAGATTGATGAATGTTAACGTGTCAATAAAATCGAAAAAAACTTCGTTAATTCGTTTTTCTTGCTTTATGGTGTGCGACGCTTGCGTGTGTATATGTGATGATTGACATTAGTGGAAGTGTGCCTATGGAGCATGTGTAGAGTGAATGGAAAGCTTCACAATTACATATATTTCAACTCTTGTCTGTACAAAAAATTCGGCGGATCGTTTTTAACGTAAACCCTGTCCTGTAAAGCGATATATTTAAACGAATACACGTGTGTTTGTATGTATGTGTGTGAGTAATGTGAGCGGTGCGTCAGTGCAGGTGTGTATGTACATGCAACTTGTAACATGTAAATACTAAACTGTTACTATGGCGATATGAGGCATGCGATGAATTATTGATGAATGAGGTAGATCGATCGATGGATTGGCGGGCTTGCATATAATTCGCATCAGTTCGGACCTTGAATTGTAAATTGTTGGCTTCGGAGATGGATTTAACGTTAAGAAGTAACTGGCCAGAGTCATTTGGATTCAGCATATACGGTCCAGATGGTCCGACTTACGTTATTTCTGTTGAAAAGTTTAGTATAGCACACCAGGCAGGTTTATGTCCTGGAGACCAACTGGTTGAATTTGATGGTTACAATGTATCGTCGATGTCGAAAGAAGCTATAATTAAATTGGCGAAAGCGTGTCTATCATCGAATCCAAGTGTCGGAGTTGTGTCCAGATTGCAATTTGTGGAGTTGGAAGCTGATCGAAAATGGGGCTACGGATTGTCGGTGGAAGGATTGAAACCTACTGTTGTAAGTAGAGTTGATCCTCCTGGTCCTTCATACGCGGCCGGCATAAGACCAAGTGCGTTACGTTACTGTTACATTTTTGTTGGAATTTGTTTCTTCAACTGTCGTTTTGACCTTTTGTAGGTGATATCATTCTGGAAATTGATGGTCACAAAATTCGGACTCTGCAGATGGCTAAGAGTATTTTAGAAGAAAAACGGGGTAAAATTGTTCTAGCAATGATCTCTATGGAGAAAAAAATCAACTTGACGAATACGGCGAACATTGCACAGCAAAGTCGAATATACAGGGCTCAAAAACTGTTCCTTAAAGTAACAATTTGTTTTGAAAATTGTATCTTAAAAATGCATTTATATTTTTTTGTTCGAACGTTAGATGAATGAATCATTTGATGGAGATTTTGAAAAAAAGATGGCATTGGTAAGGTTGTTGAAACAATACGCTGAAGATAGAAAAATCGATGCCTTTACCAAAGCTTTATGTTTGCTGCTAAATCATGACAAGAAGAAACTATTTCTTGCTGATTTGAGGTATATTTTTTATTGCAAATGACCAAAATTTTAAAGATTGAAACACAATCATGTTTTGAAACCCACTCTGCGTAGATCTCTCATACCTATGAAGCACCGTCCAAAATTTGACCAAATTATAACACAACATTTATCAAGTAAGCATCTTGTGTCTTCGGCAGAAATTAATGATAGCAAAGAATCTGTTAAAAAATATTTACACTGGCAAAAGTGGCTGTCACATTTCAACGAACCAAGGTAAATGTGGGATAATCAGCATAATTCTTTTCTAAACTATTTTATACCTTGGTATATTTCATTAACTTCGCAAAGAATTTATACAATTGAACGAATGAACGGAACATTTGGCATGCTGTTGCGTGGGAATGGACCCGTCAAAATAGAATCCGTCTTGGATGGTGGGGCTGCCGAGAAAGCTGGTCTTAGACCAGGAGATACAATAATCAGTTTAAACGGAATTGATGTCAAGTTAGATTTTTTAATTAATTTCAACCCCCAAATTCGAAAGTAGAATAATTTTTGTTTCAGAAACTCTAGCCACGATCACGTGATCAAAATGTTGCAGAGTGCCGGTCAATCCATAAAAATTGCAGCCCAAGCATTTAAATCCAATGAAGACATTAAGACGTTAGAAAATCGATCGATCTCAGGTAACTGTTATTTTTATTTATCAACTACTCACTCAACAACTCAGGTAACTTTTTACTCTCTTATAACATCACTCGGCTGGAAGACGTCATCAATGCGTCATCAAAACAAGCAAGCGCGTCAGAGTCAACAACGACACATACATACACAGCGTACGTACGTGAATATGTGTAGAAGACTTTTTACGTATCCCATGACCAGTGGTGATCCGATTGAATTCGAACTCATCATCTGGCCAACCCGAAATTTAAGCTTCATTTAACAACTCAATGATTGCTAATTAAGTGAACCTTCTACTTAAACTGAAAAATAATAAACAACTGCATTTAATGATATAGAAGATGTTGTTGAAGCGGACAGTGATAGTGATGAATCGACGGTAGAATCATCAACAGAGCCATTGAATGACGACATGAAGAATAATTCTCTGGTCAATATTAACGAATCATTCGAGCGTGATGTTCATTTATTGCTAACACCAGAGGAGAGGGTTCAAATGCACACTCATCTGTTAGATCTAAAAAAAGATGGGTTGCGTATAATTTAATTTTTTTTACATATCTTGGATTCACAGTTAATTTTTAATATTTACTAAGGAAGAAAGCAATAATTGCAAATTGGCAAAAGTATTAGCATCATCAAATAAATTTGAAAAGCTGTTGAAAATATTTTAAAAATAATAATTTTACAGAGATATTCAACACTTCGTGTATTCAATGAACTTGCTTCTGAATACAAATTCAAAAAGAACGCTATGGAGACACTTTTTGAGTAGATTTGCAGATGAGCAAAGAGATTATGCCTTGCAAAATATTACCAAAAATGACGAAGGTTCAGTTCTAAAACTAACTTGAGAAAATTTAATAAAAATTTTTATAGTGATGACCTGCTAACAATTTCTCTTCTAATATACCGACCGGTTGTAGTTTAGTTAAATAAACTATGTCAAAATATTGCAGATGGCAGCTATGAAAGTGTTAACAGGAAAAATTCTTTCAGTTTAAACACGGACAGTGGTTGGTCTAGCGGTGAGTATTGATTTAAAAGATAACTAACATCGTGTCTAATGCTGTCTCCGTTCAATTTTTTTAGTTCAACTGAACCAAGTGAATTATTTATTTAATTTTGAAAATTTTGTTAATGGCTTCAGTAAAGACCAAAGCGATTCACTCAAATGTCCAACTTTTTTTTCTTATAAGATTCTGGTCAAAGCAACTCGGGCGCAGAGACAAAATTAAACGGTGGTCTCACGAAAAAATCCAAACTAACTTTTAAATTATTTAAAGAGCGTTTAAATTATTTGATGACGGCAAGAGAGAAGGTGTACCTCAAGAAAGTTCTGCAGATATACCAGAAAAAAAAGTTTGTAATTTTTGAATAAATCTATTCATCAATTTCATTCCATCGGTATATTTTGCAAACATTTGCAGCGACACTAGCAATACTAGTATTGTTTTTCGTTTTTTGCATGTGAAAAGCGTGAACAACTTTGATTTCAAACCCGATCACTGCTCGGCTCTGCAAGGCCAAGTGCTATACCAGCACCGCGGTTTTTTATTTTCTGCTAATATCGCTAGCATTTCTATTAAAAATTTGTTTAAGTAGTTATTTTTTTATTAACAAACTACCGAAATAACATTTTAAATTTCAGAAATGTGGTCAACTTGTTTGGAGATGTGACGTACCTATTGAACACGCCATCGAAAAGAAGCTTGTGGGACTTTATCTTACCTCTTCTGCCAACTCAACACCAACTCTATTGCAGAAAGTTGTTGGCATCGGGTTTAAATGCAGGTTAGAATTTTTTTTCTAGTTTTCAATTTAATATTCAACCGGGTGTAACGTGATTGAAGAAATATTATTACTACTAATAAAATTTTATTAAAATTTTATTAAAATTTTATAGTATATGCGTAGATAAAGAATGTTGCAATCATCGAAACATTTATTCAGATACAATATCATAATAATATTTAATTGAGATGACCACATTTTAATAAGAGGGGTATTGTTTTGATTTTCACAGATTCACCAACAAGTCAGAGAAGGGAGAATTTTTATTCTAAGGTTTTGTACGTTGTTAACATAAACATTACCGTATTTTATTTGGTAACCTTCCGAGAAATATTTGAACCAGATGGCTGATGCTTACGACAATGTTGATGCCCGCGATGTCGACCAAAGCAGTGTAGCGTCGTTCATGAACATCAAACATTCATCGCTGATCCATGAGAGGAATGTTTCGCCGCCCCCTCCTCTTCATCATCATCATTACCACAAAATCAACAGACGTAATGATTTTGGTGATGATGATGATGACAACGGTGATGATAGTAATTATGCCGATGATGATGACGATGAAAGTTGGCACAACTATGGTGCTGGCAAGCTTCTGGCCTGGAATAACAAATCCTCATTCACTAGATCACGTGTTTTCAGATTTAAAAAACCAGGTCATTCACTAATTACTTTTACAATAAGAACAATTGTAATATTAATAAATAAATAAATAAATAAATTAATTAATTAATAACCATTATTATTATTATTTCTACGGTTATAACATTGGTAACAATGCAAATATTCTAGTTGTAAAATTGCAAGCGACGACATTTTTGCAGTAGAAAATTAGTGGCAAGCTGTTTGCTTAATAGGATTATAATTTTGCTAACTGACTTTAGCAATACAATTAAAATTTATTTATTTGAATAAATATTTACTTCGAATGATGTAAAGTGGTGAGGACAAAGATGGTGAGACACACCTCCATACAGACCACCCCCACAAACGAGCTGACTCATCAACTGACGCACTCAACTGAAACGAACACCGCCGATGAAGACGCGCAAAATGTCTACCACTCCTTCAACAACAGTCCTCTCGTCGAAGTTGATCACGTCAGCGGTTTCTTCAACCATAAAAATAACGTCAATCAGAAAAGTAGCGGTAGCGATAAACTAACTGTCAGAACGCATAACAGCGTACCTGCTCTCCTCACCAATGCTAACAATCGTAACATCAACAAAAATCATAACATCAACAGAACAAACATCACAATGAACGGTTACAACAACAACAACAACAACAAAAACAACAACACCAACAACAACACCAATAATGAAAATAACATTACAAAAAACAGCACTTTCAAAAATAACATCAACTTAAATAACATTAAAAAGAGCGATGTACCTCTCATTAAATCATCGGTGAGCAACGCACTGAACACGATGAACTTGTCAAATGGAAGCAGAACGACTGGACTCAAACAGAGAAGAAATTCTGATGAAGTCGGAGTCGGTAGGGAATCTGAAACTACGAAACCACCACTAATTCCAACTCATCTTTCCATTCCTCTTCCTCCTCCACCACCACCACCACCACCACCACCACCGGGTATTTTTCAGTCATTCAATCAACAAATTATTGTTTAATCATTAATATTTAAATTTGGCTTCGATAGAATTATTTTTCAGTTTCAGTTGAACTGAACTTGGACATTTTAAAAAATTGTTTCGCTATTTGCTAGCCAACACTGTTCATCTTTTGTAATTTTCATTATTCAACATCTCAATCATAATTATGACAGAGTCACACACAGACCTATAGAGACACGCACACAGACATACACAGCGCACACACAGACATAACCAGTAACACGCACACACATACATAAACATAACCAGTGATACACACACACATACACACACAAACACACTTGCACACGCACACACACACTCGCATACAGACACACAAACACTCACGCATGTACACACACATACACAAACAAATACACCTGACAGCTCCACCGGTGAATCTACATCAACAGCCCCAACTCAACACCTCAATGAAGAGAATTAATTGGGAGAAGATTGATAAGGTTGATGATGATACTATATGGGCTAAGGTTACATTAGTGCCATATGAATGAATAAATGAACGAACGAACGAACGAATGAATGATTAAATAAAAAATAAATGAAATAATTGAATAAACAAAGGAACGAAAGAATTCTTTATTGAAATTTTGTCAACTGACTGACTGACTGATCTGTTATGGATGGATTGATAGATAGATAGATAGATAGATAGATAGATCGATTGATTGATTGATTGATTGATTGATTGATTGATTGATTGATTGATTGATTGATTGATTGATTGATTGATTGATTGATTGATTGATTGATTGATTGATTGATTGATTGATTGATTGATTGATTGATTGATTGATTGATTGATTGATTGATTGATTGATTGATTGATTGATTGATTGATTGATTGATTGATTGATTGATTGATTGATTGATTGATTGATTGATTGATTGATTGATTGATTGATTGATTGATTGATTGATTGATTGATTGATTGATTGATTGATTGATTGATTGATTGATTGAATAAATTAATGACCAATAAATGGTTGCATACTAACAACTACGAATGTCGGTGCTAACATTTGAGAATAAAACTTCTCCCTTATTTAACAGCAGATAGACAAGGAGAAGAGTGATAACCTCGACGACATCGTCAAATATTTAGAACTGGAGCAAAAGTTTAGCACCAAGATCAACACATTGGGTAGCCAGTTAAAAACTATTTTTATTACAATAGAATTTATTAACATAATTTCATGGCAAAAAATGTTAATATGTTATGTTTATTTCATTTCGTTTACTTATATCTATTATTGTTATTTTTTTTAATTTTACTTCTTTACAGAGAGTACGGTTTAGCTTTTAGAAATCGCGTCATATAAATTCGAATTGACTATTGAATGATTGATTGATTAATTAATTGATTGATTGATTGATTGATTGATTGATTGATTGTTCAATTGATTGTTCAATTGATTGTTCAATTGATTGATTGATTGATTGTTCAATTGATTGATCAATTGATTGTTCAATTGATTGATCAATTGATTGATTCAATTTATATTATAATAAGAGTTTGGTTGTTTGTTTTTATTACGATGATAAGGCGAGATGATAAGAAGCAATGTGAAGCACTCTGCTGGGATCTTAAACGCCAGGAAAGCGTACAACATTTGTAAGTAATTTCACGGAAAATAATTGAAGGTTTTATTAAAGATGAATAAATAAATGATCGTTTTTAATAGAAAAAATAAAATGAATAAATTTGAGTAAAAATGAACAAATTTTACTTACAAATAGTACTACTACTGCTATTACTACTACTACTATTAGTACGATGACGACTACTACTACTTCTACTATTACTTCTACTACTACTTCTACTACTACTACTACAACAACAGCTACTACTACTATTACTGAAAAATAATAATAAGAAGAAGAAGAAAAAGAAGAAAAAGGAAAATAAAATATATATTACAAACAATTTAGACATAGAAAAACATTTTAAAATGATTGAAATGATTCAGCGATTTTGTTGGGACAAACGCGGCTGGACGTGAACGAATTCAAGAGGAACCTGATACAGTTTGACGACAGCAAGTTCAATCATGACATCATCAAACAACTCATCAATTTTGCTCCTGACAATAATGAGGTTGCTGTTTTAATGTCACGATGATGGTAATGATGATGATGGTGGTGTTGATGATTATGATTGTTGTTGTTTAAGCTATATGCGAATGTCTGCATTGTATATTATAAATGTAAACGAATACATGAATGAGTTCATGAATGATTGAATAAGTGAATGAATGAACGAATGAATTAATGATAATAAAAATGATAATAATACTCCAGATGGCGAAATACGAAGAGTACAGAGGTCTATTGAGCGATCTGAGTGAGGCCGATCGATTCACTTACCAGGTTGTTGCTTGATTATTGGTTGTCATGATTGGTTGCTGGTCGCTGGTTTGCTACAGTTGACTCTAGTAGCTTTTGAAAACTGTTCACTCTTTGATTCGTTCTCATAATTTTTTCATTAAGTGATTTAACGGTTGTTTATATTAAAACAGACATTTTTTAGTACAATAAAGCTGAATGCGTATCGAATCTAATGACGTGAATTCATAACATGACAAATAGTTAAAACAATTTAACAATGAAATTAAAAATATTTCAAAAGGTCGTTAAAATCCCTGCATACAAGGCAAGACTTCAAGCCCTGCTCTTCAAAATGACCTTTCAAGAAAAAGTTTCAGAATTAACCAGCGTTAGTGGTAATTTTTTTAATTTATTTAACTATGAATATTTGTAGATGGGTATCAATTATTCAAATTATAAAATCATATGTTATAAAATAAATATACTAAATTAAATTATTATTAAATAGAAACTGACAACGTTAAGGAATGCTTGTTCTGAATTGATGAAAAGTAAGAAGTTAACTCAAGTTCTGGAGGTTGGGTTGATGCTGCTTTCGACGTTCTTGTGACGTTACTATTGAAGTATTTTCGAATTTGAATTGAAAAACCAAAAGTATTTTGAATGATATTGTTGCTTTAGTTGTTGCTTCAGCCGCGGTTTTGCGTTTGTAAAATTACTCACATAAACAAATTTTTGGATTTTATTCAAGTTAAAGTTTTTAAGGTGGCTGTGTCGGATGAGAAGAATTAGCTACTTATCAAAACAGCTCGTCGTCCTATCCTTTATTGCTTTGAAATTTTATATTTATTTAGTAGTATAAATAAAACAATAAGATTTATGGTGTTCAGTTTCAGACACAAATGTCTGTAAAGAAGGAAACGAATGTTTCAGGTGATGTTAGCAATGGGTAACTTCATGAACAGAGGGAACGCCAGAGTCGGTGGGGCCGTCGGCTTCAAAATAAACTTCCTATCTCAAGTTAACTTACAAACATTTCTAATTTTGTTGAACATTTTTTAAAATTAATAAATTTATTAATTTGTAACTTTTGTTTATTTATGGGATGTTTTTGAATGTGCACCTCTAAGAAAAAATATTGTCAGTCAGTAAGTCACACACACCACACACACACACGCGCGCGCGCACACACGTCTCAAACTGGAACGATCTCAAAGGTGGAGTCGACAAAAGCATCAGATGGCAGAACAAACTTCCTACATGCCCTTGCAAGTGCCGTGGAGAAGAAATTCTTTGAAGCATGTCATCTCAGTAAAGACCTACCATCCATACAACTGGCCGCTAGAAGTAAAGTGCTGTTTATTCTGTTTATTTATTCTTATTAATGTCATTATTGTTTTTGTTCTTAATATATGATTATATATTTTAGTGTCGTGCATTGTTTTACTAACATTTATTGTGTACTTACATGTCGCCTAATGAAGTTAACTCAATAGAATTTTTGTTTAATTTAAACTTTTATTTATAAAACTGTTCAAGTCTCTGACGTGTTAACTAGAGATGAGTTGTCCGATATGAAGAAACTCTTCAATGTATGTTTGTAATCGTTGCTGTGCATTTTCTATTTGTCTATTTGCTCGTGTGTTTGTTTTTATTTGTTTTTAATTGCCGGCTGATAATATACATTTACTAATTTTTGTTCAGTACATTATCAAAGCTTCCGATATTGTTAATTAATAACCATTGGTCAGTTAGCATTGAATATAAACTGACCGATACTTATCACACCGCAGGACATAACAAGTGCCATTGAAGAGATGACATCAAATAATAAGAATGCCGGTTCCGCTGATACCTTCGTTAACGTTATGCAGGTTTGCAGATCTCTTGCAATATATCTCCATGCTTTTAACATCCTGTCTCTTAACATTTTAACGTTACATACAACACTTATTTAACTTTGTATGGCAACAATAAAATTAGCTTTGAAATATTCATGGCAGCAACTAGAACAGCAAATTAATGATGCGATTAATAATGAACAGAAATTTTTGGCGGAGGCATCAGATGACATTAAGAAGTTGACGTCGCTGGAGCTGGCATCACAGCAAGACATCAACCAACTCATCAATTATTTCGGTGGCCTCCCAAAAGATCTCTCACACTCTGAACTTTTCGTCATAATTTCGCAATTCGTCAGCAAGTTTGAGGTCGGTTGGTTTATAAGCTGGTTATTTAGTTGATTAAAATGAATTTTTGCAATCTTACAGTTAACAATGTCTGTAGTTCCGGGCGTATTTATGGCTCTTACTTGTTTATACATTCAAGCGAGTTGCCTAAATTAAAATCTTGCTTTAACAGAAAACATTTTTCCATTTATAAAAGGATCGGCTACAAATTCATTATTAATTATTATTTATGATGTGCCTTTAATAGTTCATCGTGTCACATTTCTCTACTCCAACCAACAGAAGGCCGTGCAGGAGGGCAAGAGCATGAAGACAGCAAGAAACAAAAAGTGACTGTCACAATGTTTGCTGTGTTAAATAAATTTCAACAACAGCATAAACATGCAGGCATAGTGATGAATAATGAGATGAATGTTATGGACTTTGAAGAAATACTCTTAATGAAAATTATCAGTAAAAGTCAAGATGCGAGAACAAATTCAACGCTATGAATGGTCTCAGACTTTGTGAATGGTCTCACGTTCATGGCACAAATGAATAAAATAGCTTACAAATGTAATTGTGAGTTGAAAAAAATGTCAAAAATGTTTAACCCCTGGCAAACAACCCAGCACATATCGTAGCACAATCGTAAAGTAAAAATTTTATGAAAAATTGCGAGGTGCGGTGATTCGTGGCACAAACAAATATTTGAAATAAAAGTTATATAAACGACATAATATGTAACAATAAATACAAATATTCAATAATTTTAGTTATAATTAAAATTTATATTTCTATTGAAATATTCTGCCAATGAGTTCAAACATCTCTCGGATCTTAACACCCAACCGTCCGGTTGTTACGACGTTCCGCTGCTTGTCCAACGTGTTGTAAATGAGATTCAATGTTTTGTAGCAAGCTTTGCATTTAAAATACCTAATATAAAAATTAAAGAATTATTATCTTAAAAAGAATTGTATTAGAATTAAGATGATGAATTACAATTGTTTAGTGGGTTTGTTGAGGATTTATTGAGAAAATAACGTCTCATGCAACCTTTCCTGCCTGTTGATGTCGACGTCATTCGGATGCGGTGGAGCCTTCATGTTGCCTCTTATGACCATTCCAAACGTGTGACCGATCAGTCGCAGTGTTGATAAACTTATGTGGAAGTATCTGTGTGGGATGTTGCGTTTCACACGTAAGATGAATTGCAATGAAAATGTCATATTTCTTAATTTCAAGAAACTTCTTGTTGAATAGCACGTTACAGCTTCTTAACGAACAATTTGTCATCTTAAAAGTTTATGACGCATTAGTTATCTGCAGCCACTAATTGGTGAATTTGAAAAGGTATAAATGTTCATACATTAGAATAATGCGTGTTAATTTGGTATGTATTATAGCCATCGTCCAATTCGTACTCAAACCTGGTAAACTGTTAAGTTATGAATGTACGACCTGAGTTGGCACGTAAAATAAACTTCTTTTGAGCGTTTTAGGACAAAGTGAGTGGAAAAATTTACATTTCATCGCGAAATGTTTATTCCAGATTTGAATTTTGCTTAAATGTTTTAACTTTTTTATTATTTGTTTTAAAAATAAATAAATCGTTATTTTAAATAAATCACTGCTTTCAAGATAAATAACAAAAGTAACGATTAACTCTTCGTGTTTCGAGAGCATCAGATCATAAAGCGTCGGAAGAAGTGATTGACAGACATCAAGACTCCACAGGTTTCTTAAAAAATTGATTGATATTATTCTTAAAAATAATTAAATTATTGAATATTTATGCCCAATCATTCATTTTAATAATCTGAAATAAAAACTTTAATTGTTAATTTGTGGAAATCTAAATTATGTAAAGAGACAATGTCTACAAGCGACAGCAGTACCACAACAAGCGACAACAGTACCGCTACAAGTAGTCCATTAACGGACCATAAATAAACAAATATAATAAGCAGCAGTAGTATACAAAACGATATTAAAATAATGATATAGCGTAGTAGTTGGAACATACGAACACGTCTCCCAATAGGATATGTAAGAGGTCAACGATTGCTGAATCATCTCTCAGACTCACAGCTGTCACCACTGCATTCTGATTTAGTTTGATAACCAAGTTGTTAATCTTTACGCATACACTGATTAATATTATTTTCATTGTGTTTATAAATTAGCAAGATTAAGAAGAATTCCTTTTTTAAACGAATAATAATTTTCACATTTCAACGAAGCATTTTAGGAATGTTGTCTTTTTTTGTATGTTTTCTATGCAAAACAACTAAAAGGCTATCATAAGCCTATCTATGCGTGTAACGCAGTGTTTCTGTGTATGCCATGTGATGTTGATTTGATAGTTTAATATCTTAGAGAAAAAATAATACAGTATTTGAAAATAGCAAATATAAAATTAAATTTAAAAAAATATGTAATGGAAAGAACATAACGGCTTAAATTATTCTCAAACATACTTTTACACCCTTTTCGGTCCATTCCTTCTTAATGATTTGCAAATTTCTGCACCTCAACTTCATTGGCTCGATCGTCTTTCTATGCCCGTCAGATATCTTCTCAATTATATTTATTTCTTCCTAATGTGTTAGTGTTACGTTCGATTATTATTTATACCTTATTTAAGAAAACTTTTTTTGTCGGTAAGTTAAATAAATTATGGAAAAAGTGTTTCAATAGTTTATAAATGTATAGATTAGTCTTAAAATTTTGACATTATACTGGTAGTGAACCTGGTTGCTGGAATCTTTTGAAAAGTCGTCACGATAGTAAAATCTGTCGACATTGTTCACTAGAGGTTTATAAAAGTAAATTTCTATATGTGTGTGTGTTTTGTGTGCGTGTGTGTTCGTAAATTTTTAACTTTCATTCTAAAAATTAAATAAATACTGACTTTTGCCGATCATTTTAAAGAATTCGTCATTTTTAACTTCGACTAAACCTTCGCTGTCTCTTTTGTCGTCTAGTTCTGACGAGAGTTTTCTGAATTTTGAATTGGGTTTTAATGCTGTTGACACATTAACTGTTGTAGTTTATCCATGATTGTTACTACGCGTCTATTAACTATCTATTGATGTTAACAATTAATTAACACGATAATTAGTGTAGGTACAGCTTTGGAAATCTTACATTTGTTTGCCATTCACGTTTGACGTCGGCGGTATTTGGCCGACAAATGTCTTTCTGTGACTATTTAAGTAAAGTAAATACATATTTTTTAATATAGGATAATTAATTACGTATAATTATTTATGTAAAATAATTATTTATAAAGCCTCAAAATTTTCAAATATTCATTAACGACGATTCAGCTCGTTCATTCATAACTTTATAAAACGATGATAATTTGGCAGCAACTAACTAGATACTTTGGTTAAATAATGGATGGATGAATGAATGAATGAATGGATGAATGAATGAATGAATGAACTAACTTATCAAGTGAACTTTTGGTTATTCTGTCGTTCGATGGTACATTCTGCGGTGTGGGTTGTGGGTTGGTTGATGTGTTAAGTTTTAACAGGTGTGATGTTTTTTTATTTTTAAATTCGATTTCGTGGTTTTTAAATTTTGATGATATATACATTTTTTTCAGTATAAATGCTTCTTATATTATTTCTAATCTGAAAGAAGTAAATTTTTGATGAAAAAAAACATGTAACTTACATCTACATCAATGACGAATGTGGTCACTGTATTATCTTTAGATTCTGCACATATCTGCATCCATTGAGTGTTTTGTTGGAAATTAAATATTACTCGAAACCATAACATGTCACCAGCAAAACATTTCTAATATGTTTTGCGATTTGAATGTTTCTAAATAAAATGGTGTTGGCTGATGGAACAACTATCAACTTTTTGAAAGTATGTTTTTGAAATTTTAAGAAAAACTTCTTGATGATGAAATTAGTTGATTAATTGAAGCGGTTTCAGACAATTTAGTTGTGGCTTTGTTTATTGATGATGATATCATTTACTGAAATCTTATTTAAAAATTTTCTGACTAACTACCAACAAAGCAATAATCTTTAAAAGCAAATTATAACTGAAAATTTGAGAATAATTTACCATTTGATTGTTGGATAGGATGGCGTGATTTGTGTTTTGGTGGTTGATGTCGACAGTTGCGAAACAATGAGTTGGCTCCCATCCATGTATACGCAAGTGTTTCGTCGTCAGACTGAACAATTTACTCCCATCTGCATCAAACATTGCCTGCCTATGAAAATATTTTTCATCATAATTTTTGTAATAGTAACAAAATGAACAGCTTTAATAATCCTATTGGTGACTTATCGAAATGTGTGAAATATTTCTGCATGTGTAAATTATTTGACTATCTGTGGTAGAAGCAAACAATGATTAGTTACTGTGTAATGACCACCAACCGTATTGGGCCTTCGGAATCATCAATTTTAATGCTCGCCAGCAACTTCTTCTCGTCCATGTCCCAAATCTTCATCGAACTATTTTTCGTTGTTTTGTTAAAAGATTTTTAAACAAATTTACTTTTTAAATTATGATTTACAAATTTTAGAAAACATATTGTCGGTTAAAAACTGCATATTATTTCCAAATAATAATTGTCTACATGCATTATATTATTAATTTAACTTAACTCTTAACTTAACTGATTTTTAGGGTTATCATTAATCAACCATGAACGGAGTGTACTGGTTCACTTCAGCTGCATGACCAGCTCCAACCATTAATTACATTACCTCGCCACCTCATTTGATGCATCACATCTCCATCATCAAAAGTAATGTTAATAATATTTTTATCCGAATGTACCAACCAATCAGCAGATGATGTTATCATGAGAAGTTCTATCGGGTGAAACTTTATGCAGTTTATTGACTGTTTGTGGTCGTCAAATTGACACAGCTGCTTGTGCGTGGCCATATTCCAAATCTGGTGGTAAAATATTGCACAAATTTAAACCACTATCTTTTGTAATTTTTATAAATCTGTAAAACTAAAAATATCGAAACGTACCAACAACTACAATATTTCATACAAATAAAAAAGATTTTGCTTGCAAAAAGTTCAAACCAATCAAACCTTGACCACGCCGTCGTCGTCACCTGAGGCCATCCACCTGCCGTCAGGACTGAAACTGATGCACGTAACTGCAGACGAATGACCCTAAACATAAATGAAGACTTTTAATTCAAGTAGAAAATTTTGAAAAATTAACATTGGTAATAATTTTTACTTTGTATGTCATAATAGAACCCTTTCTTTTTAGATCCCAGAGCTGAATAAAAAAATTCAAAGTTTATGAATATTGTTGTAATCGATTCAAAGAAAGATATTTATAGCAAAATTGAGTTAAACACAACACCTTGATCTGTTGGTCGGCAGATCCTGTAGCAACAAAGTCTCCGAAATCATGAAACTCGATGCAGTTCAACGTTGACTTGTGGTTTGAAAAAGTATGTGTCACTGTTTCGGTCAATCATTTTTTTTGTTTCAATAAAAATCAATCGCAATAAACTCTGATGGTTCTAAAAACAAATTTCAAATTTACGTTTGGCGTTCTGCAGGTCCCATATTTTGAAAACTCCCTTCTTGCAACCACCCCCCAATTTTGTTCCTGATTTGTGGAAACTGAGTGACTGCAGTGGTGATTCATGACCTGACATCACCTTAATATTTAAATTTAAACGCTTAGCAGTATCCTATATAAAAGTATTCAAAATTTAATCAAACTGTTATTTACCATTTGGCAGTTGGCGCTATCTAAACTCCACAAATTGACCTTCATGTCCTGACCACCCGTTGCTAATAAGTGAGGATTTTTCTGGCTTAATTTTAGGCAAGTCACTTTGCTTGAATGAGCAACAAATTCTCCTTCAAAAAATTTAATAAATCATTATTATTGAATCATTTGTCATTACTCTGATTGATGCGTCTGCATAGGCTGTATGCTAATAGAAATGCTACAATAATAAATTTGGGATCTTTAATGTTTAATTTAATGTTTAATCTTTGTTTATTTTATTCGTTATGTAACTCTTATTTCGCTAATAACAATAAACAATTAATTGTCGATAATAATATGGAAACACTAACTTAGTGTCCATATTGTATGTGACATGTTGGAAAATATTGACGGAGTATAATAACATCCAATTTAAATTTTTCTCCGTGAAAAAATAAACTGTTGCCTATGAAGCCATCACGTTGCCAAGCAGGTGAGTAAGGAATGATACCTAATTTCTTAATAATTTTCTTATACACGTAATGTTATTGTTATAATGATGAACTAGGCAAAAAGTTGTTAAATATTTGAGAAAAAAAATTATTACTTTGGTGGTTTCAAACATGAGTATATATATATATTTATAAATGTATAATTATTATATTAGAATAATATTTTTGTTTTTTGATACCTAATTCACTTTTGATTTTTGTTAATTCCGATATTGATTATTATCTTATTTGTCGTCAAATTTCTTTTGAAAAGTTTTTAAAATCAGGTTCGGCGATGTAAGTTAATTATTTTATTTTAAATGTTTACATCTTTTATTGAGAACAGTTACCAAATAATATAAGCGCTCATTAATTCATTACGATCATGCATTGTTTAATATTTAATAATATTCCTTGTCTTGTCAAAAAAACAACCAAGTTTGAACAGTCCAAGGCAAAGATTAGGAAACAGATTAAGATTAATTGATTACATTATCACAAAAAATAGAAGTTTAAAAAACACTTAAGTAGTTTGTTTTGTTTTATTTTATAAATAAATCCAATTAATTCAATACTTTTTTTTTAAATTAATTTTTACTCTGCTTTAGAATTAATTCTTGGTTATATTATAATTTAATTAATAATTAATATGATTAAATTTTAATCATCAAATTTAAGTTAAAATTTAGTGTTAATCATTTCAATTTCAATCCATTTGTTATTAATATAAAATTAAATAGTTTATTAAGTCATTTTTTGTGGTTAGTTAGGAAGTTGTCAGTTGGCTCTGATTAGCAGTTAGAAAGTTAGAGAGGTGTAATGATTATAATTTATAACATTATTAGCATCATTAAAAGAGTTTTTACTTTTTTTTTCATTATAATGATTAAATTGTTATTAATTAAATTATATATATATATATATATATATATATATATATATATATACACACATATATATATATATATACACGAAGAGATATATATATATATATGTATATATATATATATAGAGAGAGAGAGAGAAAGCGAATATTTTTTACATGTTATGTCAAAATTATTTTAAATTAAAATTTCTTTTTCAGGAAGTTGTCCATGTAGCTTTGTTGATTTGTTGATTTCCAGAAATTTTGTAGAAAAATAAATATACCTAAAATTAAGATCTGCATTAAATTAAATTAATAAAAAGAATTTTAAAAATAGAAATTTTAATATGGTTCATTAAACGCCATCCACATTTCCAATCAGAAAAGAAATACTTTTAAGTTGTAATTAATTTCTAAAAAAACCAGCTTGATGCATAAAATGAGAGAGTATAAAGTTGTGGTCCTGGGCAGTGGAGGTGTGGGAAAAAGTGCTCTTACTGTGAAGTTTGTTTCTGGAAAATTTGTGGAAAAGTACGATCCAACTATCGAAGATTTTTATAGAAAAGAAATCGAAGTTGATGGGGCTCCATCTGTTCTTGAAATTCTTGACACTGCAGGCACTGAACAATTTGCATCAATGAGAGACTTATATATTAAAAATGGTTAAGTTTAAATATTTGTTTTGCTGTTGAATAAATGTTTAAAATTTTCTGTTTTAATTTGGTCTTACAATTATTTAAATATGAAATTTAAATTTTATTTTACATGACGATTTAAAATCATTTGCAACAATATTTAATTAATTTTATCTGTGTTGTTATTCTAATTGGTAAAATTTGTTATTCTTTGTTAATTTTTCAAAACTGATCAGGCCAAGGTTTTGTTGTGGTGTACAGCATAACCAGTCTGCAAACATTCCAGGACATCAAAACGATGAGGGAACAAATTCTTAGGGTAAAGGGCAGAGACAAGGTCTGTACAAAGTTCATTATGTTATTATTTTAATAATACTTTGTCATTTTTTTACATATCTTCAATTCATGTGTCAAATAAACCTACCATCGGAGTTAAAGATGCCCTGAAGGGTTTGATTAATTTTATTTTCTCTTAAATTGTTTTTTGAAAAATTTTCTGAAGGTCCCAATATTATTGGTTGGCAACAAATGCGACTTGTCACCTCAACGAGAAGTCCAATCGATGGAGGGGTCGGCACTCGCTCAACTCTGGAACTGCCCATTCATCGAGGCATCAGCAAAAAGCACACGAAACGTCGACGAGGTCTTCATCGAAATTGTCAGGGAAATAAATTGCTTCCTTGTTTCGAAGGAATCTTCCAAGTGCACCCTTTTTTGATTGCACTGCACCATCAGACTCAGGTCACCTCGAGATTGTTCACTGACTAAATGTTTAGTGTATGCACATTTTTAATGATGGAACTGTGTAGAAGTTTGTCCTGCTTCATTGAATTGTAGGTAGATGGTGTTTGAAAAAGTTCTACATGCCAATAACTTTTTTATAAACTGTATGTACAGTAATTGAATGAATTCTATTAAAAGGTGGCGATATTTAAGACTTATAAGAAAGACACATTTGATCATTCTTACCTGATTTTTCTACCCTCATCATTCTAATGTGATGAATGTGACGAATGGGAATTAATAGATAGCCATTCATTATTTACCAGTTACATTTCCTTCATAGCTTCCTTATTAATGTAATTACCATAATAATTATATGCTTTTGTTTTTAGTTTAAATGTCCTAAATGTTTTTGTAATACATATTATGTTCACTGTGCTCTCAAGTTGTGTGATTGTATCTGCGAGTTAATATGTTTGCTTGTATGTGTGATATATGTGTACACTGTGCATGCCCTAGAGGTCATTGTACACATACATATATACAACATTTCAAAAATTCAACACCACTTTCAACATTGTTCAACTTTTTCATATTTCTTTTTAATTTATTAATTTCCGAGAAATTAGACATTTTATTGTTTTTTTTTTAAATTTTTATTAAATAAATTTGCAAATAGCTATTTCGAATTATAAATAACTCATCTTCAGTGCATTATATATAAGGTATGTAAGATGTTTGATATAAAGGAACAAGTAATTATTAATTTATATAAATTATTTAATTAAAACAGAAAACCAATAAAGTAAATTTAATAACTATAAACAATATAAAACGCGATTTTTAAAATTTTTTAAAATTTTTAACGGCAAGATTGTTTATATTATGGTTGTTAAGGTAAATATCAACGCTCAGCCGAGAAGCGCGAATTAATTTATTTAATTAACTACATATTATTAATATTATTTTGACAATATTTAAAAACATTATTATTATTATTGTTAACGTTATTATTATTATTATCATCGCTGTGGTTCTTCTTGCTTTTTGTGATGATGTT